CTTCTGATACCGTCGTGGCGCGAACAGCGGTGAGTTATTTGGAGGAAGCCGTTCAAGCGAACGGAGAATAGGGCGAGAGGGTTAGACGGAGAGTGGCGGAAATTACAATAGAGGTATACAGGTGAAGGAGGAGAAGGAAGGGGGACGAGGGGCAGGATGGCTGTTCCAAGCATCGGTGAGGTCGAGGACGAGAGTGGATAACCGCGGAGGCGGAAATCGTTATTAGCCTAGAAGCAGCAGGATTTGGATATCAAAGGCTCGCGGCCGCGGTTAGGTTTATGCGCGGTATCGACGTTATCGGAGACAAAGAGCCGCGAATGTACCAGGATCTCACCCTGTGTTTGCCATGCGTGTTCAGTTCTCAACTCGACATTTCTAATTGGACGATTAATTGACGTTAAATGTGTAAAAATTTAAAATCGTGAACAGAGGTATTTTTCAAATTAAATCCCCTCTATACTTTTTTATTGAATGTTACTTCTGCTTCATTTTAACCTTGATTTCAGCCAATATCGCGCTGATATATCTCGAGTCTTTTCATAAAGATGCTGCTCGATTGCTTCGCGTGTCAAGAAATGTGCGTGCCTTCGGTCTAGCCATACGAGAGTCTAAAAACGATATTGCCCCGATATAAAGTTGTATCGATATTGTAGCGCGCATAATGGGAAACCATTATAAAAATCTATCGACAAGGGTGAAGCTAACGAAGAAATAATGGAATATCGAAGGCCAGGAGCTAAACTCTTTGAAAGCTTGAATAATGCGCATAGCAGTATTTTTCATATATTAATCTTTAATATATATAAATTTTTAAGACAAAATTGAAAATGACAAATGAACTTAATAATGGTTGCTGAATCATTTTGATTGATCGACACTGCAAATAACGCTTGCAACAAAATCTAGTCACGTTTTATCACCATGACGGTGAAAATATAAATATTCCGACATCGTCACACAAAGCAAAGAGAGGGAAACGACGAGAAGGATATACCGGAAATTACGGTCGGTCGGACAGAAACACAGGATATCGTTACTTGGTCGACGGAGCATTGCTTGTTCGCGGCAACATATCCTGTTATCGATATATATATATATATATATATCGATTTTGGTTTTTCCTCGCATGCGTCCTAAGGGTCGAATAGACATTCCCCGATAAAATCAGTTGATATGTATAAAAGGTATACCTTTTGTATGGTTGAAAATAGGAGTGAGACACGAGTGAAGTACACAAGTGGCCGATAAAAGATGAGAACGAGCAAACGAAACGGAATTCTATACAGTTATAAATGATCTAAGAGAACGAATACAATTCGATAAATCGTTACGGATAAAAGGTATTTCGATTGAATGAAATTTAATTATCTTCTGTGATCGTGATCAATTTGCCAAAAGACTCATGTGTGTTAACTAGAAATTATTTCTTTCATTTACGTCGTAATTTATCTCGAAATAAGAAATTTATATTTAAAATATATAAAATATATAAAAACTTTTCACATGTATCAATTAACGTAGGTCTGCAATTTTACGATTTCAAAGCTTACTCGTGAAATAATTGCAAAACGTGCAAATACATATAACTTGTACAATTGTAATATTTACCCATATTTTACCGCTAACCTATATGGTTATTTGATTACATGCATGCTTTTCAATTCTCTTCATTTATTCTACATATTCCCATCAATATTCACGGTGGGCTATTTCCGGCAGATCTTTTCGATAAAAAGCGCAATACAATATTTATAATATTCTCTTTCATAGCTTGGTAAAATCTTCCTACAATTTCTTTGCTTGTATCAATATAATTCTGCTGTGTTTAGTTAATGTTGTGAGTTTGTAATGCAATGCCTCTTAACTAGCTCGCGAGCTTGTTGAATATCCTGAAGGAAGAAGGCGCCAGAGAAATGGATCTCCCGTTGTAGGAAGATTTATGTCGTTGAACTCAACGAAAAGAAAAATAACGAGGAGAAAGGGCAGCAAATGTCGTGAGGACGCTACGTTTTGTGATATGGTTTAGAAGAAGCGTTTTTACGAATGTCTGTGCGAGAGTTTTCATTCCACTTACTCTCTCGCAGCTTGCGTATCTAGAGAAGCGACGCACAGAAGAAGAATAACGTACAATATGAACTTTCTGAAATCGAGCCGAGATAAAGCGAGACTGCGGCCATTCGTTTTATTTTTCACCTTTATTCGATAACATACATTGATGCCTCGAGTAGCGGATAAATCGAATTGCGATGAATCGCGATGCCCCCGACAATCGAATTAGTCGACCAGAACGAGAAATATCAGCAATTTACTCTTATGAAGCTTTATCCACGTACGCGTCATATGGCGTCGCAATAAACGGCGTCTGGAATTTCTATATCACATCGAGAAATGAACCACATCCGGAGACAGTTGGAGAGAACAATATTTCGACGATATATCGAGACTATAATAAGTATCGAAATAAAGCTAGAATTATACAATAATTTTTAATCATAAAATCATAAAATTATAAATATATATAAAATTCTTCAATTTATACACTCTTAATCAATAATCGTGATTACGTCAGGGAAAAGTTGATTACAACGCACGAATTAAAAGTTATCGTTGTTTGCGGTGATACCTGCGAGCTATTTTCACATTTGCACGTGTTCTGTAATTCCTCTCCACCGTTCGTTCACCGCAAACACTTTTATTTTTTTCCCCTCTCTCGTAATATCATGCATATTTCATACTTCTGCCAAATGCTCAACCGTGCGGTATTGTTTACGAAAAAAATCGACGGGTATAAATTCGGAAACAACATAGGCCGCATCGAGCTGCGGGTTACATTTGGTACGCGTGGAGAAAATCCGGATCGTTTTACAAGCTCGTTCGCAGCGTGTCGCCGTATTCTCCTCTGTCTGGCATCGCTGTACGGTAGCTCCTCTCGATGCAATGCACGACGACGGCTGCGAAAATAAAACTACAGCTCTCGCTACGGGTCGAACAAAGCGAACGGAACCGGTAAAAAAAAAGGGATGGAGCACGAAGGAAGAAAAAATCGCCGGCGCGATCGTAACCGGAGGCGTTTGCAGGTTTCAACGACGTCCTGGGACCCGTTAATTCACTCTAATCCGTTGCCGCCGCGGTTCGCGATCGAGCGCATAAATCGTTCCAAAGTCGGCGCAAGTACCGAAGACCGGACGAGTTTTCCGGGTTTTCCCTTCATTGTTTCCTCGGGAACAACAGATGCATTGATATGCGCGCGGTACAATGCGGCCGCGGTCTTTGATGTACATATAGAATGCATTAATGCTTCAATGCATTATTTTATACACATATCGGGATTCATATAGCGTGTTTATTTTATAGTATATGCACTCAATTTTTTACAATTATAGAATTACAAAAAATTATTTAAATAAAAGATATTCGTTTAAAAAAATCTGTATAATGTATGTCTGTATGTATGTGATTTAACAAAACAAAAATTTTAAATTATTTTTTTTAATATTATCCACGACAATTTTGATTGGTACTATCTTGTTTTCCCACTCATGTGTAAAAGTAAAGTAAGAGACGATACCTTATAAACTATTGAAAATCTCATTTTACTGTATCATCGAATTTATCATAAAATGCCTTACAAAACTGTAATAAAATAGATGTATTTTTCTATTTAAAAAAATAAAACTGTTATGCACATTATGCACATTAAAATAATATTTAAAAAAATAATTTAAAATTTTCATTTAAGTAATATATTTTATAGATTTTATTAAACAAAAATTTTTATTCGAAACATATTTTTAGAATTCTATTACTAAAAAATAATTGAGTGTATACATTTAAACCAAAATACATTGTATATATGCATTCAATATATATGCATGATCAAATACATACGTAAATTTATTTGTCAAGATAATAATGATATCATGCGTACGTAGAAGACTGCTGGCTTAAAACGCGAGAGATAGGAAAAGGTAGAATAGGGGTGAATAAAAGATGAACAGAGAGGTACCCTAGCGATAAAATTCAAAACGCGATTTTCAATAAATTTGCAATGCACAAGACTCATGAATGTGTTTCTATAATTTACTTTTTATTCTATTCGTTGATTTTTCAGATCAAAACTCATTATCTGCAGTAATATCATGATTTTATTTGTGATCGACGTTTATGAGATATTATAAAAATTGAAATTTAATAATACGTTCCTTCTGATACGGCACATTGAATCGATCTAGACATGGTCCATTTTAAAATGAAGTCATCTCCTGCATGCCATCATCGTAAGAGCACCGGCTGCAACAATTGCGTTATCTCGATTTATACGGGTTCTCTTGCAATACGGAAAGTGTACGCGAGGTTTTCTGCTTTCTATCGAACTATTCCACACCCACATTTATGATTCCTTGTCATCGTTTCTCTTCTGGGGATGCGATGAGAGAAATTATTCTCTTCAATTTACCGAAGTAGGTTTTACTTCTTTCCCGGGCAAATATACACTTTGCACTTGTTTCATCGTAGCTTAATTGTATCATACGGGCGCTTTTTTTATTTGAAATTTCTTGACGGTATAATTTTGCAATATAATTTTTTGTGGTGTCTTTTTTCTTTTCAATTTTTTCTATCTAAAGAATAGACAATTGTATATCACAACTTCAAAAATAGCGATAGTTAAATATAGAATATAGGGAAATATAAATAGTAATGTCTGTCCTCTCTTCCTCTTTCTCTCTCTCAGCTATACTGTTTATATAGTTTCATTGATGTATAAAAGAGGAAATGAAAATTCAGAATAGATATCATAAGAATAGATAATATCATAAGAATAGAACATAAGTTTTTTTTTATTTTTTAAGAACATTATCATTTGATTTTATCCACTTGCTCCACTTTTATCTCAATTTTTTAATCTCTTTCAATTTTTAATTAATTTTTTCTCAACTTTAGAGTTTGTCTTGATGTAAAAAATATTGATTTTACTTTAACGTGAAAAGCATTGAAGCCAATTCAAAGGATTAATCTCTGTAATTTATTGCACAAAAATTGTAACATTAAAATATTCCTTTCTTATACAAATATATACGAAGAAATGTACATGCGCCTTTAATGTTTCTATGTGTAGAGAAAATGTATTTGAAAACTGATAGAGCTAACTATTCTTTGTTTTAGGATACGCGAATTCGCATCTGTTGTTTTTATATTTTATCTTCAACCGCGTACGAGAGAGAGAAAAACTAGAGTTGTCTGTAAAATCCTCATATACTGGATATTTCACAAATTGAAATTTTTACGACTTTTACTAATCCAGCAAAAAGCATTGCGCGAAGATTGCCTTACATTTACGAATATTTTTTATAGCTACGGACATATATTTTCTATCAGTCTCTTTATAACAATATCACAGATATGATTGCCCCGAATTGCTTTTACTGATTTTATTATTCAAAAAAAAAGAAAGAATACATGAGAATTATATTTAAATTGCGATAGAGAAGCAATACGTAAAGTATACGAAAACATACATAAACATACGAAAATATTACTTTATAAATTAATTAGAGACTGTGAAAATATTAAAGCATGCTTGTCTGGATGAAATCTTTTTTTATCACAAAACATTTGTACGATTTTTCAGCCTTTTTCTCTCTCTTCATCTCAATGTTTAACCGCCACTTCTATGATTTCTACGCTTCTGTATAAAAGATACAGCGTTTACGCGAAATTTTTACTTGCCAGTCTTTTTTATTTTCATTTTCCTTTCTCTCTCTCTCTCTCTCTCAGTTTCCCTTACTTAAATATTTTATCTTGTATGTGCACGAGAAACAACTCTGAAGTCTGACGTCTCGTTAAATATCCCACCCGCGTAACATTTCGCGTGAGAAAAGAAAAGAAAATAAGAAAGAGGAGCCGTATATAAAGATAGCGTTCCTTGTAGCAGTATTTTAATAAATAAAGCGTGAAATTCATAACGAGAACTCATAATCGTGAAAATACTTGCATTTGAGAGAATACAAACAACACATCTGGGTAGGCACGGATTTATACATGTAGCAACAATGAATTTAATAAATTCTTTATTTCCCGAAAGCGAGTACGAGAAAAATCGTGAACAACGCGAGCCGCGAAGCAAAAATGATTCAGCGACTCGCTTCTGGTCGCGTATAAAAGTACTATATATATACAAGTAAGGGTAAGTAGTCGCCGTTTCAAGATTCGTCGTTCAAATAAAACGTTCGATGATGTTGGATGAGCAAGTTTGCGCCGCGCCCAGAATGGAACGCGACACGGCTCTCTCTGTCACCCCACGTTATTTCGACTCTGTGAACTTTCTACGTCCTCCATCTTCTTGTCACCCCTCAGGAGTTCCTGAATTTCACGGAACGTCCGGCCCTTGGTCTCGGGTACGCCGAAAAATACCATTATGAACGCACATAAACATGAACCTGCGAAGAAATAATAAACGATGTCGGCACCCAGAGAGTCGCCGATCACCTGGTATAGCTTTGAGACAGCGAAGCCAAGCACCCCGTCGAAGATGGTGACGATGGCGCCGGCCAATGCCTTTACCTCGGTGGGAAACAATTCACCGATCAATGCGCTCGGCAGCGTACCTAATCCGAACTGGAAGACTATCTGAAAGGCGATCACGTCGATGACCGGCAGAAGATTCGCTGCGGACATATCGATGCCTTGTCCGTCCAACGTGAGGTATATCGCAAGAATCATAAGGGTAACGGAGGAGCCTAGGGTGGAAGCAATCAACAATGGACGTCTGCCCGCGCCCTCGACGGTTGCGGTTGATAATCCGGATGAGATGAGGCCGACTGCGAGGACGAGTACCGTAGCCATATTGGAATCGATGCCGACGGCCACCTTCTTGAAGAGTACTTCGAGATACTGCATAGTACTGAAGTTTCCGCTTAGTTGTTGCGCCATGATGAGACCGAGCACGATACCGAGGGCACGGATATTGCTGGGCAACAGCATTAGCTTCAACTTGACAATCCAGTTGCGCTTAACCGGTTCCGTTCGTGCTCCGGGACCAGTCGTCGGGATATTATCGCAAACGTCCCCGAGGAAATTGTTGCGCAGAGCATACTCCAGTTCTCTTCTAGCCTCGTCACGATCGCGGATTCCTTTGAAGAATGCCAGGGATCTAGTGGCTTCCGCTCTGCGACCCCTCGCCGCGAGAAAGGCGGGAGTCTCTGGAAAGAAGGAAAAACACACCACGAAAAGGATGGGTATCGCGAGTTGTATAGCCGCTAAAACCTGATAAGACACCCAGGGGCTGATACAGCACGTCAGTAAAGAGCCGGTGAACACATTCATGGAGATCAAAGTGCCGAGGGCGCCCCTGATATCGACGTCGGCTACTTCCGATACGTACATCGGATTGGCGGTGTACGCCATACCCACGCCGATGCCCAGGATTATCCTCGAAACGTAGAGAGCCTCGACGCTCTGGGCGAAGAAGACGACTGTCCAGCCGACGATGAAGAAACCGCTGGCAAACAGAAGAGCTTTCTTGCGGCCATATCGATCGGCGAGACCCGCTCCGAGAAACGGACCGATCATCGAGCCGATCACCGTCAGCGATACGATCCACGAACTTTCATCCTGGGTGATCTTCACTGGAACGTCGCTGGCACCGTCCGTGAGTCGTGAGAGAGAGGCAGTGGTCCATCCGTAAACAGTACCGACCGCTACCATGGATAGAGTTGCTGCAAAATGAAGATTGATGGAAGATTAATGACGCGTTGATTAAACAATTGATTGTCACGTGTCACTTTTAAATGCGCGATGTCTCTGAAATATGACGCAAACCTGATATACATGCTAGCCATTGCCTCCATTGTGTGCGTTTGCTGTAGTAATGCTTATCTTGAGAAGACGAGGCTTGCGTCATTTCTTCTCGTGGGCCATCTTCCTTTAATGCACCAATCTACAATAAAGATAAATATTGAAATATTGATCTTATTTTCAGTCGGAAACGCTGCTAGATGAGGCTTATAGCTACTTAGTAACATAAATAACGTAGCTCTTTTTTCCTGCTTAGCAAAGATAGACACTATTATTTTACATTATAAATCTTGTTGGCAGCCGCAGTTACAAATAAATCAATCAATTACTCTTCTACTGCCAATATGATTTATGAAATTCCGTGAGTGAGCTCAAATGTTATTTTCAAATCGGGAGAAATGAGACTCGCGAATGGATCTTCTTGAGCGTGATGGAATGCAGAAATTCTTTCCCGAAGTGAGAAGCAACAGGTGATAATGATTAATGTGGTGTGCAAAGAATTAAATGAAAACCGCGTTCTTCTCTCGAAGAACTCGAACATATCGCGGGGATCAAATAAACTACGCAAACTACGTCAAACTGTGGAAAAATTATTCTCGATTTCATCAACAGTCGGCTCTCCTGGAGAAAAAATTTGTTTTAATTGCCAGGTAGACAAGCAAACATTCACAACACACGATTTTACATAGGTTTCTTACTCTCCGATTGAATAAAGCGCCATCGTAAGATCACTACTGATCGAATGCACATGCGCGCTACTATTTTCGAAGCGATACGTCACTCTTCTGCGTGTTCGCGTGTTGGTCGGCGACGCAATCTACGACAGGATCTCATCAGTCGTAACGGCAGCCACACGCGACTTATCGCGATAGTTTGGTGCACGCGAGAACATCGGCGAGGCCAGGAAAGCGAGCGAGGCAAATGGTGAACATGTCTTGGCTTTCGTTCCGTTGCTACTCACCAACGTGTTTGCGCTCCTCGTGGCTTTTCGGAGCCATCGCACGCATTTGCCCGCAAGGTATCGGGAAGCGGCATCGAATGGAGCATCCATTTTTGGCCTCGCCACGAGACGGACTGTCTCTAGTTTATTTCCCGATCGCATGCCGACATCACAATTATACCGACGTGTATACGTGTATCTAATGCACGTAATATAGAGAATGCACAAAGCGCACAAGACTCGTTACGCGATGCGCCGATGGAGGTCAATGAGCGCTGTCTTCATTCTATGCTGAATCATTCCGCCTCAAGGTTTTTTTATTCGTCCGACTCATGTGTATATTTGAAAGATTCGTTAGAACCGGATCATATTTAGACAAATATTTTTTTCATTTGAATGAATATGGAGGATTGAATTTCCTGGTTCGCACGAGCGGTTTCAAATATTGCTTTGATACGCAACGCTCTGCGTTGATGAATAGCTCTACAACTTTAGCGAGTTTAATTCGCTGAGAGTAATAATCTTGAAATGTGATACGTGGATTAAATTTTACAAAGTATAATTAGGAATCTCGTGTGTATACGTTCCGTTTTTTTTATTTAGAGAAGCGACGTATATGAGTGGGATCTTTTCAGAATCATAAGATGCTCCGAATACTTTCGCTAATGGAGGCTCATCAACCTTTTCGCGCGATTTTCTCTTTCCATTTTTTTTTACTCGATTTACAATCGAGTAAAAAAGTGGAAAAAAATGTCAAGAACGTTTGCGAATAGATATACGACATCCGTGCATCGCGTGCGCGTGCGCGCACGCGCGTTTCCATAAAAGCGTGATAACGGCGTTTCGTTCACGTGCACGCGCACGCCCACACACGTAGATATAACCTCAGATCCGAAGTGGATTTTATCTGACACGCGGTACGAAGAATCTCGGAAATGCCAATGTGTCTCGATTCCGACGAAGCGAACGAATCGTGAAGATCGATACTCACCAGCGGGTCCATTGTTTCAGTCATGTGTCCTCCGCTCCGATCCCTTTAAACGTCCCTTTAAACTAATACCCGCGATCTAAATACAACGTGCCACGATCGACCAGCTCTTCTGTCCCAGATTCGATAGAGGCGACCACTTTCATGTTTTCATCGGAATTAACTTTGGACCGTGTTTTTGGAACCAGATACGTCGGAAAATACGCAGGCGCTGTCATCGCATCTGCTTTCACATACACATGTGATCGCCTCTCTTCATATATATTTTCCTTTCTTTCCCACTCATTCTCTAGATGTTCCGCATTTCCATATTAAACGCGATATTTATAATCGGCCAGAAGACAAAGGTTATCGGTTGATGATCCCTCTGTCGCAACGTTACGATTAGAATTGGACAATGGTATCAAGAAATGATCGTTGAACATGTAAATGATTTCCTTCATTAAATTAGAAAAGCCAGAGAATTTGACAAACAAAGAATACGCGCTAAAATGTAATTACTGAATAACAATTAATTATGTTAGTAATTGATAAGTTAATAATGCGATGATTATTATGTGACAATTGCCATTGCAATTTGCACATGTGCATTTGTCCAACAAAACTATAGAAATATTCGAGGAAGATTTATGATGGATTATTATTCAATATCGTACTATAATACTCTGATCCAACAAACAATTATCGAAAATCATTGATTCAATATGCGCGGGGCAGCCATGCGATTACAATTAATAATAAGTGTCAATTAATTATTTGACTATTGAATTAACGATTGGTAGCAACGTTTCGATTTCATCTGTTTATGCGGTAACAAGAGAAATCGGAGCAACGTATTGCAACTGCGGAGAGCGCGCGAGCAAAACTGTGTCGCTTACATTTGCGATCGTAGCCATGTGAGATGGGAATGGAACGGCTGTCCTATTTTTCCTGGCGATTCCGGAGCTGCAGCTTTCAATGCAATGAATTCAACAAGTAGTTTTCTTCAAGTTTTATCGAATGCCCTTAATTTCATCAGAGACCATCTCCGAGTATCGATACTTTTATTTTTTGGAGCATACGTCGCTCTTATCACACAATCGGTCTTATCTTACAATTATTATAGTTTATCGAATGTTCGTGCGCGATCAGTTTTTCAAAGAACGATTTATTAATTTCCGTATTTTTGTAATGTTTTATATTATATTTTTTACAGTATTTTATGATATCTACTTTACGATTTACTCCGAAAAAATCGCGTTGGCGTAAATTATTATCACCGGTTCGCAGCAATCACGCGCAGCATTTAACACTTTGACGCGTAAAGCGAAAGTATAAAAAATTAATTGAGTCAGCTTTTATTACTTTTCGTTTTTTTTCTCTCGCGGCTTTATATTTGCTGATATCAGCGTCGTCGCGAAAGTTTCTCGAAGGTCGCGATTAACTAGTAGCCATTTATCACTCGCAGCCTCGGTTTTCTTGATGTTTCCACCATTCGCAGCTAACGGACACTGACGACTTCAGAATTCGAAATCGAGCCGACATCAGAGTCGGCTGCGTCTTATCGATGTGCGTGATCTAAGAGATCTATTTATCTGTTACTTCATAATTAACTTCGGAGCTGTAGCACAGACCCATCACCGCCCTCGTGATCCAATTAGCCTTAATACGATTGTTGATTGTTCATTGCATGCCGGTACAATTATACGGGCAGCTTTAGAGATAACCAGTAGATTCACGGGTCTTCTTTCATTAATCGATGATAACGAGCAACAGGCGGTTACTGTTCTCTCAGGGTACAACTCATCGTTCAGGCATGACGAGAAGGTGCATCCTAGAATGCCTCTTTTGTGCCCTTATCTCTCGCATGTTTATCATTATCTCGACAATGTTGAGGTCATATGTTTGCCCTCGCATATGTAATCCGTGAAGACGCGTCATGGTTTATCTCGCGTTCTCAATCAAACCGCGACGACAAGCAATTTAACTGTTAATTAGCGCCGGTGAGAGATGTCAAGCGATGAGTCTCGAGAATCATTCGATCCACTCTCGCAACTCGATCTATTCCAATCTCGTTTATCATCATTAAAACCGAGATCAATCGCGGAATCATAAAAAGAGAATGTTCTTTCACATTACATCTGAGAGAGATGAAAGATATAGCAGTTTCTTTCCCTGGCTTGTTATACTATTACACGTATATACAATATTTGTTCTTTTGAGCAACGCGAGATCGAAATTTATCTTTGTATTCTTTCATAGTTGGCCCGAAGGCTACGCTGTAACGTTAATCTTTTGGCTTATATCGATGAAAGAAAAAATTAATTGATTAATTCGGAGTCTTAATCGTGCGCTGTTAGTTATTTTATAACGAGAACAACAAATATAGGATGCGTCAAAGGGATTTATTGCGTTTCAGAGTTAAGCTGATTGCGTTTCAGAGCGAGTTTCGGTGCTCTTGGAATACGCGTGATCCAGGATAATCTCACGTTTCAAAGCTGCGGCTTTTGCAGTAGTCTCTGATGATTCATAGAAACACTTTCGATGTGACACAAAAGTACCAGGTAAATTGACCTTTAGTTGCTGTCGCAAATGCAATCGAACTGACTCTGATAGAGGTAAATTAATTTAAATTATAAAACATGTATAACTTGATAGAGCAAATATCTTCTAAAGTTCGTATTTAATATATCTTGAAGAAGAGCAAATTTAAAAGAACAAACTTAAAAAAGATTTTTAGCGAAACTCGTATGTTTTTATTTAATAATAATATCGCGCGTTGCTTTTATAATAATTATAATTGACAATCGTTATTTATTTGAACAGTTTGTACATTTAAAATCCACAGTTTGTGCACACTTTTTGCAAAAAAAAAGATTAATGACAAACATTTTAATTATAAGTATGAAAGCTGTCATACTGCAATTTACTATGTCTTGTAACTAATAAGACTACTGTCATTCAACATGTATGTCAACTTAATTAATCATAAGAGTAGTGACAGATCAGGCTTGACATATTATTAACGAGCAGCGAACGTCACGTTGTGCTTGTTCCATGATTAATTCCTATGCAAGCTTTGGTTTCGATTGGTAAATACACGAGTAATTCCGATGTGATAGAAATTTATATCTGTAAACAGACTGCCTTTTCATTGAAATATTAAAAACATTTTAACTGAAAACCACATATATCCGAATTTAAACAGCTATCATTGATATATCCTATATTTATATAGATTTAAATAATTATATATAGATTTATACATAGATAATTATACATAGATTATAATTATACATAATATTTAAAAATAGTTAAAGATAAATTTGAATATAGACTATGCTTTAATTAATATAAATATGAATATACATACATGCATGCTTCTAAATTTTTAAATGAAATAATTGTCGGATGTATCAAATATCTTATTATGTATTGTAATATTCACAGAGACAAATTATAATATTATTATCGTGATACAGTTTATGCTAGTTATATCGCAAAACAAATATCACATAAAATCATCTCATCCTAAATCGATTTAAAAAATTTATGAACACTGAAATTTAAAAATATTGTCGATTATAATTTATTATAATTAATTTAAAAATACTATGAATACTATCTTCCTAATTACTGTCACTCATCTGTCGCAACTGATTGTTTTGAGATAAAGTCTTTTCGCGAATTTAAAGTGATTCCTCCACCATCGTTAATAAGATAAGGATATGATAATGACAGGGTTTCATAAGAATCTCTTAAATGATTAACAAACAATTACGAGAACAATTTCGTTGTCTTGATTTAAAATCTTCTGTTTCCTGAAACATGTAATAATATCCTGAAAATCTGATATTATGAGTCTCGACGATCCATCGAAAGTAATTCTAAACTTTAATATTTATTAAGTTGCTTCTTCAGGTTACAATACAATAATATCTGTTCCATCTTTCATTAGTTTTACGCATCGTTTCCTTATATATGCTCCGTCCTTCAGATTTATTTCATTCATTACTTCTAAGCGACAGACACCTTGCGCATTTTCGTCTTGAGAGAGAACTAAATTCGTACTGAACAGCTGTCCTCTTCTCTCTTTCTCTCGCTCTCTCTCTCTCTTTCTTGAGTAAAGTAATGGCAAATCACCAAGCTTAATGCATTTCGCGACAAATTGCTTCAGTCGGTGTCCCTTGTAATCACGTAAATTGTCATTATCTTAACTGTTTCTATTTAACACAACTGATTGCTCTGCACGAAGCAGAGAGTCTTCGAATCTTAACGCCGCGTTTCGTGCTGCGGCCTCGAGACGAAAAGAAATCGCACCGGTACCGTTTGCTAGCATCGGCTGGATACGTTCATTCCCCCGCGAACGTAAAGTTAATTAAAGTAATCCTCGGTTAATCGGTGTCGCCCGGAGTCCGTGCTCGTGCGCTCATTATGTCGCCTTTATAAATGCGAGTGCGCCTGCGAGGTGCCTGCTCCGCTTGGTGTGATTAAAATTTAAAGCGGCGCGCACATTTGTGCTCAACGAAACGAGCTTGGTGAAAATATCGACCCCATCCTCTTCCGTCTCTTTTGACTTTTTCCTGCACTTCGAGTCAAAGAGCGTACGTTTATTTGCTTGTTCGCTTGCTAAATATTACGCTTTTGTTATTCCGCAAAGGGAAAAGAACAAGGGAAATAACGTGGTAACACTCTTCCGATCGAAATAGTGCAAAAATATTTCCTTATATTTTCGCCATATATTCGTGAAAAATTCTGAAACATTTTTCGTCCAACGATTAATCCGATTATAACGATTTATGTTACAGAAAAAAAAGACGCGTTTCATTTAACTCCTGTGTGAGTAATTACAGATTGTTTGTCCGAAATGTTATAAATATTCGTATAACTTATTGAAATATTATTTTTATTCATTTTTTCCTGTAGTTTGCATATTATCGTTGTATATATTCTCCATGTACGTTACTCTGCGTATCGAATATATAAAGCACTATGTCGCGAAATACAGAGTGACACCCAAAGCTTGTATAACGAATTCGATGAAATATCGACGTTTCAATCCCTTGCGTTCTTTTAATTTTTTTTTTACCTCAGTTGCACTGATAAATCCATTTATCTGTCGGGAGCAGCGAGACATCCATTAAGTTTCTTTTTTTCTACATCAAAGAATGGGAGATAAGCAAAGGGAAGAGAAATATATGTGTTTATTAACTTCTTATACATATATATAATAGTTCAATAATATTTTCCCACAAATCTAAAAAAAATAGATATTGAAAAAGATTTTTGTAAGATTTTATGGCATTTTTTTTTTGTAAAAATGTATAAAAGCAGATTTGATTAAATTCGTATTGGTATGAATTTTACTTTGGTCAGGTTTCAGATGAGTCATGTTCGTTTTGCAGCACTATGACGCTGTAACGAGTGCGCTACACGTCGTATTATGCGAAATAAATCAGCACGGATGCCGGATTATGTAAGACATTAATCTTTTCGAGACGCGCGATTTTTCACCCTCTTATTGATCTCCCAACAAGAGCAATGACTTTTGACGTTTCACGGGCCTGCCAACGGTTACATGTTCACGATGAAAAATTCATGAGGCGCTATGTAACGCATATGTAACACGCTTGCCGTACATAATCTCTGATCCATATCGACTTTGTGTCACGTGAATCATAACAGTTGTAAAATATTCCGTTAAGTTATTAATGGATACTCTGCCATTGTAGAGTATATTGATGTTATAAAAGTTATGTTTTTTTTAATTATTATTTATTCGTGATTATAAATATTTTAGTCGTAAAAGTTTTGCTACTTTATAAATTGCATCCATTACGTTAAAATCTTAACGTAAACTTCTTTTTATCCCGTGAATTGCTCAACAAGGATTAATAAGAGTCAGCCTTCGTCGTGACTACGCGTAGACACATATATCTCTTATATTAAAATTCATATTTTTAATTGTCTTATTTACGAAGATATAGTTTTTCCTAACAGCTTCTAGGTATTTTATTACTCTATTTTACTTAGTTCAAAGTTACATCGTTTAAATTAGGATTAATTGTTGGTGAAGCTTTCTAAAGAGCTTATTTAAAAAAGTTTATTCAGAATATTTGTGTATCTCTTTAAAAAAAAACTCGTGTTAGTGCCTCCTTAGCGGTATCTCTTTAACGTATAAAAATTTAATTAAAACATTGATTCGTTTAAAAATGCAAATGTTTACTCCGTCGCAGAATTTGAAACGGAATAAGAACCTGTATTTATTTATGGTTTACTTATTATTTATTGTTCTTCACAATGCATACAGCTGATACTATATATGTTAATCGATATTTTAATAATATGAGGATAATTAGCACAGCTGTCGTTATTGTAATCTTCGTACAAGCGTGAAATTTTCATTTAGAAAATCGATTTGCATCATCCAACGAATTGATTATAAGCCTCGTTGTAAACCATAATAACTTATACAAACTATCTATAATTTACTCACAGAATTGGCAGTCGTTAAGCTAAGCTACAAAATGTTGCGATGTTAAGCCGTATAAGCTCGTGCAATTCTTGCTTTCTGTTCAATGTGCGGATTAATAGCTGTTATGCAATTCACGAGTGAATAGGTGCAAATTAATTGTGAGATATATAACGATAAATTAGCAAACGTCAAGTTAATTGTTCCGTTCAAATTATTTATTTAAAAAAAGAGTTTACTATTTCGGATTTATGTAATACATTTCCAAATTATTAGATTTTTTGATATTAAATTTTTTGAGCAGTCTGCAAGTAAAGTTGCAAGATTTTGCTTTATCGTCAATTTTTAGAACAATAATTAATAATTAAATTTGCATTAAAAGCAGGAATAAAATTATGATTTGCCGATAAAAAAATTGTTTTAAAGCGTGTTTCCGCGATTTCATAAAAATCGTAAATGTTATTAATGTATATATATATATATATATATATATATATATATATATATATATATATATATACAGGGTGTATCAAAATTCGCAGATGCACATCGTGATAGTTCGTGCAAGAAGCAACTTTTCCTTTTAGCAAAATTGCGTCTGAATATTACTTTTTTAATGAGAGTAGCTTTAAACTAACGAATAGCGTTTTAGATTACTCATGAATCAGGAGTGGCATGCGCACAGCTTGTGCAGCGTTTGAGCATATACGTTATTTGATCATTTTGCTCAAGGTTTTACCAGAACTATGCATGATTAAATATTGATAACTAAATATTGATTAAATATCTATTAAATATCTATTAAATAGCCATTTTCAAAACAATTTACTTTAATGAAAAAACATTTTCCATTTGATATCACCGAAACAATGACTGAAAGTAAAATAAATAGATAGATAACATGTGAATAATTTTGATCTACACATATTAGATTTAGAAGAACAGTTCCATTGTGCAATAGCAATTAAGTATTCTGGTACACCCTGTATATTTATACAACATTTTCAACTATTTTATTAAAATTATCTCAGAATGATGTAGCATACTGAAATGAGAATTGTGTCGCGATAATTCTCCCTTATTTCGCATTTTCTTTGTAACAAGCGTTAACTAGATTTGCCTTTGCATTCTTTTCAAATTTGCTAATAGCAACCATTACGTAGGTCTCGACGCATGTTTATGCATTAACCCAGTGTGGCACTGTAATTTATCGGAGCGTGTAGTTGCTTGCGAATGGAAGTCATGCATATAACGTAATCTCTAATGAGAAGCCATGCCGAGACTAAATTTTTACTCCCTTGATGTGATATACGCGACATATACATTATACGCGCACACTGTTAAGCCGAGCATATATACTGCATATACCATAGAGGCATATTGTAATCGAACTGAAATCATTGTTTGCCAATACTGACAGTGAATATTGATAAAATAAAAACTTAAAAAAATTTATACACTTAATGCAAACTTTGATCAAATTATATAAATAAATAAAATTATAAGCGCTCGAATCGTTTCGTGATAATCGATATATCGTACGTATGTGTGTACAAATTTTTTTGTCAAAAATATAATAAAATTATAGAGCGAATCATGGCCCTCGTATTTTACTTTCACGGTTTAATAAACTTGGAAGAACTTACCTCAGGAAGAGGAGGATTTCGTCATCAAAATGGCACATCCATCCTCGTTGTCTTCGCTGTTGTCGCGGAAGTGACAGTAACTTAGTCTCAATTTAATTGTCGCTCGTCGCTTTATACGCATCTAACTGAGGTAGAGTCTGACTATAGAAGTGATGAAGAAACAGAGTGCGACGAGGAGAGAGAACGAGAGTGTGGTGAATAGAAGGGAAAGAGCTTAACTTTACTTCGGAACTTTGGCGAGCGGGACCCGTCCCGCGGGAAATCAATGTCTAGCTCTTCAAAGAGAAAAGTCGAAAGAGGACGAGTGATCGTATATGTATGTACACGTGGGTTGGTTTATGTGTGATAGTTAATTTGATAACCAACTCGCGCTGGTCTCCTTTGTTTCTACTTCGGCGACTTCTTCTCGCGGACTTTCCGTTCGTCGTTTTGCCGATTAAACTTCAAGGTATTTAGGATAGTTATGATGTACAGGATGATGAAGAAACACTTCTGAGTAATTAAATAGGAGATCTGCATTTTACAAAGCAATAAGTTACACGAGAATCCTTACACGAAACCAAAGCCCTAATTCGAGTCGTGGCACGCGTTCCTCTGTCGTGCCCCTTTCTTTTCATACAAATATGAAAATAGCAAGAATTGCAAAAATAATAAAAAGCACAAACGTGTGTCCTTTTCTATGTAGAAGATTGTTCCCGAGCTAATTCTACATGAAAAAATATCCGTACGGCGTATATTACGTTGTCGAACAAAAGTACGAATATCCTATAAAAAGTAAAATTTTGCGATGTTAAAAAAGTTTTAATCTACGCAAAATTTGTTTAAAAATACTTATTTATATTTTTCTAATAAAAAGATTTCTAATATCAAGATTTCTAATATATCTGTATTAAAAATGCTTTTTTTTCATTGGATATACTTCGACTTTTGTTCGGCGTCTTTTGTAATGCGCGTAATTTCATCAATATTCGCATTCGCGTTTATGAAGAAATGGCTCGAATTTTTGTGGAAGACTGGAAAAGGACGATGTCGTTGTCGTCGACGGTTCAAGAAATAAAAAAAGAAGAAAAAACGGATAAGATAATAGCACCGCAGATGCACGACCAGATGCGACGTGCAAAGTTAAGCCACGACATCGAGATTTTTTTTTTGAGAATTATACATAGTTAGCACCTAAAAACTTCATCATCGCTCGCAGAGACAGAGTGCGTGGTCACACAGTTGATTAATTTAATGACCTTAGCTTGACCCACAGCTCGAACTTTAACTCGCAAGTTTGATTTCGTCATTCAACAACTAGCCTCCGCGCTAGTTGATTCGCTTTCACGGTGATTTTATTCTCTATGACAGCGAAAAAAGAACGCTTCTTCAGTCGTCGTTCAAGCAGCACGATCAAAATTCATCGTGATTTCGAATTATTTCAGTCCTTCGCAATCACTTTACCAGTCTTTCGTTTCTCCGGACTACTATTCTCGTCACTTTCATACAGGTTTCGGTTGTATACGGATTAAATACGGATTCACGTTTTGCTCGACGTCTCAATATGCGAAAGTCCATCCGTTACCTGGTCCATTGATCCTGTTTCAGTCGTGCCTTCGTCGTTTTGATCGGACTCGAGGTCCGATAACGGCTCGGATCAATCACTATGAAAAGAAGAAAATTTTTCTTGTAAAAAAAAAATTGGACAGCCAAAATTATTCAGAATTAACAAATATAAATACAGATTTCAAAATCTCAGTTATCTCATATTTATAATTATTGTTTTATACTTTTGATTATATTATGTTATACATTATATTCTTTTTCTCTTACCTATCACTATTCTCGCTGGTGGCTTCCTCGCTGCAGTCCAAGTCGAGTTCACCTTGAATTGCGCTCTGCAAATCGTCGATCCTCTGTAGCGCCAATCTAAGATCGTCTCTAGCTACTTTGGTCTCCGCCTCTGCGGCTTCCAAAGATTTCTCTGTGTCACGACGAGCACGTAAAGCCTCCTGTTCGCGCGATATTGCTGCGCTGGCCTCGTCGCGCGCGTCGCGCAAAGATCGTTGCAGTCTTCTCGCCGCGTCTTGAGCAGTCTGTTCCTTCGTCCTAAGTAAGGCTGATTCCGTCTGTAATTTATCTACGCTCTCCTTCAACCGTGCTATTTGCGTCTGCAAAAAAATAGAAGTAAATAATTAATGTCAGCTAATTAAAGATAACTTTTCGGAGTAAATTAATTTGACAAATCATGTGTGAATTAATTTTTTTCGGTATTGTTATATAATTTTTTTTCTGTGACTCAATAGATTGTTTTTGATAATTAAGTACTTGCTAATTTGAGTACCTCCAAACGTGCTCTTGTAGTTTGTTCCAGTTCGAGCTTGCTCTCGAGCTCTTTGGCTCGGAATTCCAAGCGTCTCGTGGCGAGACTGTTTGCCGTAGGATCGCCAAGTTGCTCCACTGATTCTAATCGTTGTGCCAGTTCCGATAATTGATCCTTCAACGATGACTTTTCCGCCTCGAGCGCGACGATTTGCACCTGTGCCTCTTGCAATTGGCTTTGTTCCGCGGAAACTTGTTGCACGGCAGCTCGATATTTCTTTAAGACCTTTGCAATCATAATAAATGCAAAATCATTTTACATTCATATAACTTTCGTACGCGTCAACATTATAAATTCACAATTATAAATTTACAATATTATTCTAATTTAATTACAATATTATTCTACAAATCTTAACAATGACATTTGGCGAACATATGATTAATTATTCAAACTTATTAATTTGCTAATCTTCTAGGAATAAAATAGCATACTTCAGCGAGCTCTTCTTCGTTCTCCTCTAACTGAGACAACAGCTCCGTGCGTTCGCGATTGGCCACATTGGCTCGTTCCTCTGCTTCGGAACGTTGTCGCATAGCCTCCTCCAGACTCGCTTGTGTTTCATTCAATTCCTGTTCCAATGCCTGTTTCGCTTTAATTGCCGCTGCTCGAGCGCATTCCGCGTCTTCCAACTGATTTTTCAATTGACGGAGCGCGGCTTTGCCTGTCGAGTCTCCTTTGGATCTCTCAAGCATTGTCTGTGCATCCCTGAGTAAAGCCTTTGTTCTCTTCAGATCTCTCTTCAGTCTGTTTCATTACACATGTGAATTGTTATTTTTTATTTCATAGATAGAACAAATGGCAGAGCTGGATGAATAGAAATGCGATTTCATAGTTTTTGATACTCACCTCTGCAGAGTCTCAGCCTCTGCCGCGCGATCGGCTCGATCTTGTTCCTCTAGAGCTACCAAACGGCGTTCTAACTCGTGCTTTTCCCTCAAAAGAATCGTCCTCTCCTCGTGCTCGTTTTCCAACTGCGATTCGAGGGCCTTAACTTTCTTGTGCGCATTTCCGCGAACGTCTTCCAATTCCTCGTCGCGCTGTTGCATCTCCTTGCGCATCTCCTTGCGCTGCTGTTCAATGCTCATCTCCAGCCTGAGTTTTGCTTGTTCGAGCAGCTGCACCTGTCCAGCTAAATCATCCAGCTCCTCTTCTTGATCCTTGGTGCGTTTCTCTAGCTCGTGTTTCGCTTTCTTCAGCTGCGCGACTTCCTCCTCCGTTTTTCCACCGAAAGTGAGCTCCTCCAATTCTTGGGTCAACGTGCGAAGTCTCTCCTCCTTCAGTTCAATCTCTAGTCTTGCGTCCTATTATAAAGATGATATATGCAAATATATGCGATATCGCATTCATCTGTTTCAAGCTGGGAAAATGAGAAAAAATAGATAATAAGGAGGAAAATATACTCACGCTCAGATTTTGTTCCACTGTGAATTTTTCTGCGATCGCAATCTCCTTTTCTCTCGCTAATCTTTCACGCTGTGCTTTCTCTTGTCTAAGATCGTTCATCAGGTTCTGAGTTTCCGAATCGAACCTAAATTTAATACGATGATTAAATGAAAAAGATTTAAAAACTGTAATATTACAACAGAATAATTTTATATTATTGATGTGTAAAGAATTCAAAAATTTAAACAGATATTTCGGAGATATTAACAATGTTTAGTTCAGAAAAAAATATTCTCATATGTACCTATAATATACAATTAGATTCATGATAATGCATAAAAATTAATCAACTATTTTAAAACGTTATAGAATAGGTATTAGAAAGAACGGACTGGATTTTGGGAGAGAGTCCAATTTCGTTGCTTATAACGAGATCGGCTCCAACCGGCAACGGACGCGCGCTGCATTTAGATTAACAGGAAGCTATCTTCGCGAACGGTCAATCGTGATTTGCAGGCGCACCGGACGCGTCGCTGAATGCTGGCAAGTTAGATCGGGTGGCGTTACTGGCCTGGCGAGATGCCAGAGACACTTGTTGCCGCGAATGAAATGAGAATAGAGCGAGCTACTACCCGACACCGACTCGTCGATCATTAGTTAGTGAATTAAATGCGCTCACATTGTTTCTCAATGCGCGACAAAGTGCACAATTTATTTTAGCCTGCAACTTTGTTGACGCGTGAGAGACTTACTTAATGAGACTTACTTGCGCTGTTTTTTCTCGAGGAGATTATTCCTAGCAGTCTGTTCCTCCAACAGCAATCTGAGATCATGCATCTCGCCGTTCAATTTCTGAACTCGCCGTTTCCATTGTCCGACGACTTGTCGTTGCTCCTCTACTTCTTCGTAAGCATCAGCCAACTGTTTGACAGAGCGAAAATGATGGCGATGTTCGTTTGTGATTATGAGCATAACTTTTGATATACCTTCTTCTCCAACTGCTTCTTGAGTCCCACCAGCTGCTCCAGATCATCCTCGTGCTGCTGTGCCATTTTCCTCTTCGTGAACTCGAGTTCCCGAATAGCATTTTCGTAGCGTTGCCTGTAAACACCACCGTCCTCGCCTTCCTCGCCATCAGAAGCTACTCCGTTCAAGTCGGCAGCTCTCGCGTATAACAGTTCCATCTCCAGCCGTTCGGTTGTTTGCTGAAGATTCTTATTAGTTTCAGTTACATCCTGCAACTCTCGCTCGAGTCGCAAACGCTCCGATGTTTCGGCATCAATTCTCTCCGCTGCTAATGTCGATGTAGAATGTTCCTCAGCAAAGTCTGCAGTCATCTCGCTCAGCTTGAACAGAGAAACACGTATCTTACATAAGGAAATCAAATGCGACACGCGATATTGTAGATACATCACGGATCATCATTACTTAACCTTGTACTATTATTTTCTCTGTTCCGTGTCTGTTAGTTTTAAATAAATCCAAAATTATAAAACAAAGTTAATTGCGCAAATTTATGATAATACTTTTATAAAACTCGCTCAAATTTATGATAGTACTTTTTTAAACGAAAAATTGTTTTGACGTTTTTCTTATTTTTTCCTTAATGAAAATTTCAAGCCATTGTTCTTACTCTACCTCCGGCATTCCCTCCGATAAAGTGGCGTCCTCCGAAGCGCGAGATAAGGAGCGCCTCGATGGACTCTTTGTTACGCTATTTGATCTACTATAGTATTGATAGCCGCGTATCATGATATTCGTGGCGCTTTGACTTCTTCCGATTATAACACGAGGCTTATCTTGAATATGCGGCAAACTTATCGCCTCGTCGTCATCCTTGTGACCGAGGCTTCGCCACTCGTCCATGATATGATCGGTACGTTTCAGAAATTGGGAAATCTTCGAGGAGAGATACGATGAAGCGGTGGACGGTTCCAAGTGAGACGCGGTAGGTCGGAAGGATTGCTTTACTCTCTGCCGTTCGCAGCCCAGGACGAAGTTGAGACTCGCATCGAACACGACCGGAGCCTGTTCCTTGACTAGAACATTTTCCACCGACGGCGATCGCGTGCTTTCGCGAGGATACGTTCTTCGTGGTGGAGTCGAAAAGATGGGCGAGCCGAGCTGAGAGTGACCTCGCGAGGAAGCGACGGACGGCGATCTCATTCGAGACAAGGATTTCGCGCGGTAAGAGGTATTGGAGGAAATGCTGCAAGGAGAAGGACTTCGCATCGTGAGACTTGAATTGCCAGCGATATGACCTCTACTAGGTGGTCTCTTGGAGTGCGGCGGCAAGGGTGGTCTTTTCATCAGGACCTTCGTGGAATCGGGTGATTTTGATAAACCATTCATCAGACTGCTCATCGAATCGTTCCTTTCAAGCGATTCATTCGAGCTGCTGGAGGCGTTTTGCCTATTATGATGAGGGAGGGAAGGAGTATCCGAGTATCTTGTCGGCACGGAAGGCATCTTGACGATTGATTCAGGAAAGCTAACTCGGGAATATTAGTATGTATAATTAATCCGATCATGAGCGATGGATTAAACAAATTTTCCGAGGCAGAACCGTCGCGATTTGCATTTCAAACTGTTTTCTTCGTGCTTCATAGCTTCATTTATAGTGCTGACGGCCAAGATGTGATATTACTTCGGCGAATTGCGTAACGTCGAATGACAACGAAGACGCCCGTGTCGGCAAGGAGTCGCGATGCAACTGCCTCTTCCTGGGTCGACTCGCCGCCGAAGGCGTTCGTTGGAGGAGGCGGTCACCTCCGAGTTATTCTAAGGGGAAGACGGCGAGAAAGAGAGGACCGGCGAGGGAGATAAAAGCGAACAGAAGCGTGCGAGACAGCGATTCTGGCTATTCGCCAGATTCTCCGTAGATTTCGTGAGAAAAGTATCGAAAGTAAAAGAGGAAAAGAGAACATTTACTCTAGCATTTCGACAGCGGATCTAAGAATTACGGCGGTCGCCTCCGCGTTTGTAAAAATAGAAGAGAAATGGCGGAAAGAAAAAAATTGTCGAGCTGCAGTGAAATGACTCGAGGAGATTCCAACATATTAATGACATTCAAAGAAACTATGATGCGAGATTTATTGCCACTTGCTAGTTGAAGACTAGTAAATGATGATTAAATAATGGCTCTTTGTAGTAATTTATTCTTTATTAACGAAGACATGTGCAAAGCATGGGAAAGGTAATTTTCTCGAGCAACTTATAAGGATGCATGGACCGTCAGCGTTTTTATATATTAGCGGCCGACTAGAATGGTAGTGTAACGCGTGCGGTTTACTGGTCGAGTCACGATAATAGTCGCGTACTCTCGACACGAGCCGTCTGGCGTGCTTAACCCAATTGTGCAGCGTGCGTGCCGCGAATGCCTAAACGGGCAGTTTCGGCTTAATGCATCCTTCGAGAGTGCCTCTATTAGAACCCATCACGCGGTCACACGCGAAATTATTGTGGTAAAACGGGGAGTAATTTGCAGCAGCGCGTTTCATGTTTTTCAAGCCACGAGATCGTTTTTAAGCCTCGCGAAAAACATTGCATAATTGTAACTAAGAGTGGATATTCGCGTTGGATTATAATACCCCTTGCTTGTCGCAACTCACCTTCGCCTCTAATTTATCGTTGTCGTGTTTCAGATGATTGCGTTCCTGCTCCAAGCGCTCCACTTTTGCCTTGAGAAGCTCGAGCTCTTCCTATTGGAATGAAAAAGTGCATTAGAAAACAATGTATAATAGCGCGAATATATAAACTGTGTGTAACACACATATAAACATATAATTTCTCACCGTTCGCGCCTTCAGCTGATCTTCGGTCCGATGAACGTTCAACAAGGGCGCGACTTTCACGTACAATCTCCACCAAGGCCATTCTCGCACAGACATTAGCTTCCTCACGTTCCTTTGGATGCAGCGCACTGCGAGATCTTGCAGCTGTAAGAAGATTTAATTTGTTAATTTGCTTCAAATCAACGTTGTCAATTAATTACTGAAGCGTTACAAATTATCAGTAAAGCGAAGAAAATGGAAGAAGTGATGCAAGCATATATTTTTCTACACTGCATTTTCCTCCCAATTTAGCAAATTAAGAAAAGGGAGGATTTTTAAAGGCAAAATGTAAATTCAGAGTCATTAGCACAACATAAATTAGACTGTGATTTCCGAACACTGTATTTTCTGCATTAATCGAGCAAAAATGAGCGAAAGTGTTCGCTGTTTCTCATGTATGTAAGGAAAGTTCTTGAACAATTTCTAAATTGTTTAAAATGATTTCTAAATAATTATATTAGAATATTTCAAATTCGCAAGAGAGGAAAATAAGCGACCCACTTTCAAAGTGTTTAGTCTACGCCGCGCTAGATAGCCTCTGCATCTCGCCTGCAGTAGAATGATGTGGCCTGTGAGTTTCTCGTCCCTCTGAGCTTCCAATCGTTCCAAGGTGCCCGATCTGAAGAATATCTGAGAACAAAAATAGACTCTGCCTCAGATTTTTCACCGATGAATATTAATTGGCGTTTAAAATGCTGGCATTGTTACGCGATGCTATATTACTGTTAATTATCCTATCTTGATCAAGCGTAATTTATCGAGAGGAATAATCAACTATTAATAACCAGTACATTATACGATGCAAGAAGAATCGCATATCAAATTCGAGTTCATGGGCGATGAAAATGTTGAAATATGCATGGCATAGTTTCCTCTTATACTTTCATCTTGCATGTAAACGAAGGATAAATGCATATTATAGCTACTGGAGCGTAAAGGATTCGCATCTCGATTGCGTTAGATACTTTTACATAAGACTATGTAATGAAAATGTATTAAGTATTAATATAGTTACGTTAATACACACTTTCAATTATACATGCAATGCAATCTCATAAATTCTTAAGTGAGAGGACTCACATATTTTGAAAGATTCTAATCATTCAAATCTTGAAGTAATGGTAATCGACGTTTATGTGAAATTAAAGTAATTTAAGAAAGAAGATTTAATCAATAGCGATTTCCTATCAGATTTTTTCCTATTAGCATTTCATTATGTAAAATCACATTTTCTTCTCGCGATATAAACGATAAATGTGAACGCGAGCGTTGGATACGCAGAGTAATTAACGCGACCTAATTATCCAGTCGACCTTCTAATTACTGAGCGCTATCAGTATTTAAGTTAACAACTGTACGAGACTGTAATTGTTCGACACGGACCTGTCGTCCATTTTCCGAGCATTTGTCGTCCCGACAATTATCGGTGCTGCTAACATCGCTGGACATCAAGGGACTTTTTCGGTTAATGATGATCTTCTTTTCAGGTTCGGCCAGTCTGTGAATCGTCGGTTCGAAAATTTTCATACCGTTGTTATCGTCGTCTCGATCGATCCTGTTAAAGTACTGCTGCTCTTTGAACTCGTTCATCTCTCTCTGATTCTCCATAGTTTCCTTCCACTCTACTTCGTTCTCATTACTCATGTGACCGCTGTCCTCCGAACAGTTTCCATCCGACGCGTATCCACTGTACTCGTTCCCGCTCTTGGACTCGTTCTTCTTCAAGGCAGGCGTGTCGATGATAGGAACGTCCACAGATCGCGGCTTGATTAGAACCTCTCGCGGAGGTTCCTTGGCGGCTTCGATGTTTTTGCAGTTGAAAAAGTTTACCAGATGTTCGATATCCTTGGCTCTTTTACCGACAATATTCTGCTTCCTCTTCGTCTCCTGCGCGTTGTCGACAACGTCATTTCCAATTCGCGTCGCCTTCGACAGGTTGGCGGTTATCTTTCCGGAATTCGCAGCGTGGATGGTTTTCGCGTCGGTATTTTGACTCGCGGTTCCTCCGATCTGTTTCTCCCAATTGCGTCTCAACTCTTGAATGGAATTCACATTCTCCTTGCTTTTCTTCAATTCCTTGATAAATTCATCCGGATTTTCGCAGATTTTGATTCGATTAGATTTAGATTCTCTTATCACAGATTCCCTTTTTGGCGAATCTTTTTCGGATTTTATATTACTAATATTTTCAGAAATATCTTTAGAAGTAATTGTTTTCTTTCTCTTTACTTTTTCTCTCGATATTTCATTGTTCTTATCATCTTCAAAGTCACACTTTTCCATAGTAATATTTTCATCATTGCGCAGAGTCTCTCGATCCTCGTAGACAATTTCCGTTCTACACGGAGGAGCGACATCCATGACGTCCACTGGCACAATCTCCTTAGACTCCAAATCATTTTCTAATTGTGCCATTAATCGCGCGGCTCTCTCCTCGAGATTGCTCATCGACGTCGATCTCAGAGAATTGAATTTCGACGCACGATCTAGAGTCTCGCGACAATTCTCGTAGATACGTTCGTTCGATGAAGCATCGAGATTGAGCTCGAAATTGATCATCGTCTGGCCAATTGTCTCTCCAGCGCGATCTACTTGCGATAGATCGGCGAGAGATCGGCCGAGACCGGTAGATCGGGTCGCCGGAAGCGGTATCTTACTCGGCCTGAAGACCGAGTTTAGCCTCGCGGGCGCGCCGGAAGATTTCCCGCCTTGACTGTTATCCGCTCTCGGGGTCCGGACGTTCCACAAACTGGTAGATCGGTTAATGAGACTTTTTCCCGACAGTTCCGTCTTCTTCTCCTTTTCCGCCGATCTTTTCTCCGAGAAGATTGAAATCCATCGCGGACTGTTTGAATTCGTTTGATTGTCCGGAGAGGACACGGAGCTTAAACTGACCGAACGATCAAGAAGACTCTTTCGTCGTAGGGCCTCGGGTTTTGCTGGCCTCTTCTCGGGCGTATAAGTGAGGCCTTTTTTCAGCAACGCTCTGTCCTCTAGTATCGTGCACGTGGAAGACGAGCTGGCTGTTTTGCAGACCTTCCTCTTGTCGTTTCGTGCAGCGAGCGAGACAGTTTTTGCCGCATCCGGTCGGGCTTCGTTCGGGGATCGTTTCAGAGGCTTCGAAGGCACAACAAGTCGAGATTTCGAGGAATCCAAATTAGTAGAAGCACGTCGCGGCGGATTAACTATGTCGTTAGATGTCTTGATGGATATCTTCGAGTTTGTTGGTGGCTTTGTCGAACGAGACGATTTATTCGAAGCAATCGTGGGATTCGTTGTCTGGTTTGATTGACTCTGCTTTCTGGCGGACGGAAGCGTCGCTTTTGATACATTCGGACTGCTCTTGGCCTTAACTAAACGTGAACCGCCGCCGGTCACACATTTAGATACGTTATCGAACATGTTGACGAAAAATCTATGATGCAATAATGAAGTAAATAAGTCGTTATTCCTAATGGCAATAATGTGCTCCGATTTTAATATGTTTTTTCAGGATTTTTATATTGTCATTATAATAATTATTATTATAATAGTTTTTGTTATAACAAATCATCTTGTTTTGTCGTCATATATCGCAGTTTTCACACATCTCGAAGTAAATTTTCGAATGCAATGAATTAGCGTATATTTTTGTATGTTTAAAAATATGTCTTCTCTCAACAAAAATTAATTTTATATGATTTTTGTCTTATTTTTTTTTATCGATTTAAATATTTTATTTTTTGAGCATTAGCATTTCAATATTTCCCTTTCTAATTTGATTTTGATATAACTCGATAAAGATTGAAGATACGTACTTTCTCCAAAATTACAGCAATGTCTCTTCAATTAAATACTGATTAAGTATAACTTTAAATTCGTCACTCTTGAGTCAACCGATAATTTTGTTATGTGTAAGCATTTGTCATTTGTAAGCTTGTGAGCGATTATAGTAAACAAAGATACAAAAATGACTCAAGGAATGTTTGTCAGTTCAATTTTAAAACGTTAAACTTCTAACGATTCAAGTTTAAATGCATTATTTCTGCATAACAAACGTCCATTATTATTTTTGCCTCATCATCATTTCAAATAATGTCCTTTACAATCTCTTCGCACGACATTAAGCAGTTCGTTACGTCGCGCAAACTTTGCACACAGAATAAATATATATTCGTATACATATATACAAAAAATATATGTAGATAATCGTAGGTCTATCTAAATATCGGATTCAATTAATATAGTATAAAAATACAAAAAAATCACAAGTATTTTGTAAGATTCAAAGATATCTAGTCACACGCTTGGAGAAATGTGTATTTAAAGTCTAATAGCTTGTCATGAAAGTCAAGTTGTTCGCCGCACTTGTCACCTCGAGATCGCATCCCCGATCACTGACACTAGCGGGATCGCGATAATTCTCACTTGCATACGTTGCGGAATGAATGGTCGTTGAAGGAGACTTTTTCCTCTCCTCTGCCGCGCAGAACGAGCCGCGACTAAGTGCCGTAAAAGCCGCGTAAAAGTGTACACGCATCCAACTGCGAGGACAGAAGTGAAGAAGCGAAAGAGAGAACAGCAGAGATGACGACAGGAGGGAGGGATGAAGGAGTGAGGGAAATAAAGGGGAGAGAATCGAGAGAGGGACCGGTGAAGGGAAAGGGGCAGATTATCTTGAGAAGCCGGTTACCACGCATCGGCCTGCAACTCTCAACTGGCAGGAAGATGTAGCTGGTTAATGCCCGGGTGCCAGCTTATCATTTTCTTTGAAGGGAGACATCGTGTCTTCTTGCTCCGATAAATCGAAACAAACCGGAAGACATAATAATAAAAAAGTCTGTAATGTTGCGATTTATCGAGAGATTTCCGACGGAAATCGTGCCGGCGAAATTACCGCGAAAAAAATGTTTCCGATTTCCGCATCGCCTATTTCTAAAAATGATAGCGAGACGAACACATACATTAAAATTTAAAAACGTTAGATAATCTTTATTATAAAATAACGAGCCGAATATTTGCCTGATTTTATAATATGAAGTTATAAATATTAAGTTTATAAATATTACGTTCCCTTATATGATGATATAAATAGATCATTAGGAGAAGCTAATAATAAGCGCAGAAACGGCGCATTAAATTTGCTGTGACTTGGTTAATTAAACGTGTAACAGGGATATTGTGTAAAGCACATTTCGCAATCCTGACCGCTTCTCTTCCTCTCCTTAATTATACGACGCGTTCGTCTGAAGATAAAACACCCGTTAAACGAATGTCTGTGCTAAAGTCGACAGAAACAAAACATTGAGGTCCTCTCTTAATCATCGCGAGCACTGACATTTTAAAAGAAGTTTCGCGCAGCCTTTGCAACGTGCTCTTCATTAATTTCGAATGAAACGAGATATTTTCGAGATAAAGTCACCGTTACGCCAATAAGGGAATACGGAAATGACGTATTAAGGATTCTTTTAGATCTCTTACTTTGCATGAAAGTCTTATTATATGCGAAATAAATTTTGTTACACTGATCGTGTGTGTCTTCGTTTCTTTCATCTCTCAAATCGAAATGGTCTCTTTGTATGCAGATAAAAAGCCTATTCAGAAGAGCTCGTTAACTAGTGATATAATCGATTAAGAGCGACGATGATTCGACCGCTGACCAGATGTGAGGCTAATATAGCCAATATTATTCCATCATCAACTCTCAAAGAAAAAGTATATGATATACTACGCGTGCGAGGCATTTGCATGTTTTTACATAAAGTCGATGATATAACTCTCGCGTATATATGTCATCTTTATCTATAATTATTTCTCGAAGAGAAATATTTATTGTGAAATTTTGAAAGATTTGCAGAAATACTTTTTAAGTAGTTTTTATTTTAGTCTAAAAGCCGGAAGAACGTTACCGAGCCGTAAATATCAAGGGATCAACAAATAAGGCAATTAGCAAATTCACGATGTCGTAACGTTCGAATAAAGTAAAAACCGCAAAGTAAAGGTTATTGATCTTCGTTGTGGATTCTATAATTTTTCTGTAATGCGATCGTACAGGATTATAATACCGGCGTTTCGTTTGGTCGGCAATGAGAAAGCACTTGTGCCGTTCGGTGCTTTATTTCCAGGCCGATGATGTTTACCGTTATCGAAACTAACAGGAAGGTACCGGTGTGGACTTTCTCTCTCTCTTTCTTTCGCGGATTAATTAAGAAATTGATGACTTTCTCTCTCTCTTTCTCTCTTTTTCATCTTCCCTCGATCATTAGACTATCCCTAGATCATTTCGTCTATAGAGTGAAAAGCGAATGTACTTTTCTATTTCGCGCTTCATCAATCTTTATCAAAATTATAATAGATCGTTTTATATTCGACAAAATTTAAAAAATCATTTAAAGTGTCGTTTCTTTGGAAAATAAGAACAATGAAAGGTTTAAGTTTGATTAATTTAATCTTGAACAAATTCATCAACAATTCTATTATTTAGTATTGAAATTGAAATAATTCAAATCACGAGTAAGTTTAATAAATTACTGATTTAATATTGTAAATTTAAAAGTTTATAAATTTATTGCAGATTATTATGTGTGTGTATATATTATAAAATATGAAAAAAACACATGTGTGTGTGTGTGTGTCTCTTTTTAAATCAAATATTTATCGCATGTGTTACTCTTTTTAAATTAATTATCGCAAATTATCTTTCTTTGCACCTTTCTTTGCAGTCAACCAATATATTCTAATTAATTATTCTGAATAGATATCTCCATCTCCACTTTTGGGAGGAATTAAGAATTTAATCGACCGGCGTACACTCGCACTGGAAACGCATATGCGCACTCCGCGAACGATTCGGGAGCAATCCGACAAAAGGCAATTCCCTCGCTTGCTGTGCAATGTCAAGGCCGAAAGATGTTCGACGTCCGACGACGTCTCGACCGGGACCAACCACAAACTGAGGCGCAGAGGAGCGGTCGCACAGTCGTCTTGTCGTCAGAAAGCTTGTTTCGCATCAGGTACACGTCCCTCCATCTCGTCCCCACTATACAGGTAATGTGTCGCCAACACACGCATAAATCTCGCGCATTCAAACGTACGTCTGGTAGCAACCCCCTCTGCTAGCAACGGCACGTTCTCTCGTAGTGCGAGCGATATCGAATATAAATCTCGAAATTATTATGTCGGAAGAGATGGATAAGGAAGACGCGTACAGTAAAACGCTCGATTAATCAAAAGCGCGATTATGCGAATAACGAATGGCAATGATATATTCGAATTACGTGTCGCAAGTTACACGCGTTTCCGACATGTATAAAGTATTTTGAATTATAATTTTTGCATACGTCCAATTATAATCTTGCAAAAACAAGATCCACGGATTCGATATATCACAGCACCAAAATTTCGAAAGTGCAAGGGAAAGGGATCGCAGATTCGGATCCGTGACAGGTGGGCGCGTCGAAGCGTTGCCAAATGAACCCAGAGGACCGGTCCAAACTGGCAGGTCTCTTTCTTGTTTTCTCGCCTATCCCCGAATAAGGCACACTTGGCGAATCCCATTTCGCTCGTCCGCTTTTTGTCTTATGGTCCACCTTGATATTTTAGGGACACGCTCTCGTGTCATTAGTTTTCTAAAATAGTATTTTATTCTATTAGTTAATTATTTAATTCTATAAGAACGATAAAACATGCATACGCAACAAGAGATCCAAGAAAGGGGCGCTTTTTTGCCCCGGCTCGGCTCACACTGACTCCGCGAATTTTTCGAGAGTATTGCGGAAACGGGGACGCGGGGCCGTTCGCCTTTCGGACACGTAGAAAAGGTCCCTGCATCTTACCGTCCACGTCGGATCGATAGATCTTTGCGGGGATGGCTGCCACGAAGAAATCCGAAACAGACGCGGCGCGGCGTTGGAAAGCGGCCGGCGAGAATGTCCGCTGGCCTACTGACAAACGGGAGAAAGGAGAGACGAGACGACGAGAGAAGGGAGCCACATAAGAAGAGAAAAGAGCTCTGGCCGCGTTATGAAATCGCGAACTTCTTTCCGACAGTCCACGCCAGACGTTTTTTAATACTTTTGTTTAATGGGACCAACAGTCGCGTCTGCAAGCGATTTCATCGGAAAGTTTATTACTTCTCTTTGGTAGGTATCGTCGGCTTTATCAAGCAATGTCTCATTCTTGTGCCCGTAAGAGAGTGTGAGGTAAGTTGATCGGGTTTATAAATTGCATCGTAAACGATTTCGCCGGGAGCATAGAGAGTAAAGAAGAAAGTAAAAAAGAACTCGTTTCGTGCATTATGCTCGTCCGATTTCATCGTAATGCAATTTTCTTAAGGGGCAATTATTCCTTTTGGAAAGTAGTATATTTATTTTCATCTGGAAAGATCCCATAAATACGAAAATAATCGAAAAGTCTCACATTACAATATCTAATAAATCCATTTCTATCTGTTACGTGATTCACTTGTCATAAATATACAAATGTCATTTTATATTAAGCTTATCATTGGAAAAGTAGGAGACGATAATTAGAAAATTGTGTCGCAACACATTTGATGCATACGCATGGAAAGTGAAGAAAAGAACCCGTTATATTTCGCATCACGTCTGATTTAATCGTAATATAATTTTAACGAGCAATTAATTCTCTAGATAACAGTAAAGTATCAATGTCAATTCAGGTAGAAACACGACCCGTTTCATGCACCTGCAAGTGTGAATCTTATCGGAAGACATCGGACGCCTACGCCTGGTCAATTAATGGCTTGAAACCGCCGGTGTGCGGTAACACGCTTCTCAAGGGCCGAAAGAAAAGCAGGAGGAAGTTACGTTTAGCTTGTCGCAATTAACCGCGGGGTAGATAGGTAGGTAGAAATGAAGAATCTGACCCCGAGAGAGTCGTGGGTTGACGAAGCCGAGATTGAGCGGTAGAACGCGGTATGCAACGTTTCCGCTTCCCGACGAAGGGAAAACAGCACCGTGTGAGAAACTCGACAGCGTGATGTATTTCGCTTGGTAATTAGATGGTGCCTTCTTCAATCTATTCGTTTCTGATACTTGATGAACCTTGATCGTAAACTTCTCTTCTTGATCGTAAACTTGAATTAATGATATATCCCGAAGAAGTTTAAAATAAATTTAAAAAATAAAATAGTAAACAATTCAGAGAGGATATAATGTATCACTTAATAATATAAAAAAATTAATATAAAAATTCAAACTTCTTTTTTCTTAATAAATCCTAATGTAAATTTTTTACGTCTGAAATAGAAAATAATTGTCTGTATAACAATATAAATATAAATACAATATTTACACATATAAATTATATAAATATTAAAATAGAATTTATCTAGTTCTCAGGAAGGAATGCGAGTTACTATATATTATATGATATCAAATTCAAATATATATTTTTCCTCTGCATTTAACGTAGGTGGAGGCAGCGGGATATTCCACGATCTCGGCTGGCTTGTTGCCGAGATTGTCGTGCGAACCTGACCTAGGCGTGCAAGCTTCTTGGATAACTAATCGCGTTTCTTCATCATGGTACTTGATTAGTAGTCCTTCAGCTTCCCAACTTAGCATTGTTGAGTGTAAAATGATTCTTGACATGCATATAATATTTATATATAGGATTCGCATATTTCGATGAGATGTAATTTTTATTTTTATAATGGGCCTTATAAAATTATTTTGGAATATATTAATTATATGTTATATATAAAATTGAAATTTTTTTTATATTAACCAGATATATTATTTTTATTCTTCTTCATAATTTAATCTCTCTACTCCGCAGTTTAATCTCGACTGATCTATCTAATTGATTTAATCTTCACTTTTTATTCTTCACAGTTTATATCACATTGGAATGCGATGGTGGTTAAGGCACGTGCGCGCATAATAAGAATTAATTGTACGGTACTTGTTCCAGAGAATCAATATTCTAATGAAGTTAAGCCACGCTCGTGCTGTTTCCACTTGACGCTTCGGAATTACTTGGCATTCCGATCGCTCAAGATGCAAGACACGCGGTAATCGAAGGCACGCGCAACGGTCACATTTCCGTCGTGAAAACGTTAGCGCCAGATATTTTGGTAGTCATGATGTATATGTTTCAACTGACCGATTAGCTCAACTAATGAAAATACGTCGATGTCCATCGTAAGAAATCGTAATTTGAATACTTTTTTTGAAATTTAGCAAGAGAAATACGTCTTTTTTATCTTATTAAAATTATATAGATATGATATGAATATGAAGAAAAAGATGGAATACGCTGGAAATGGAAATCATAGTACATACATTACGATAGTTGTAAAGCTGCTGTAAACTAACGGCAAGAAATTGCAAAGAAGAAGACGAGAGAAAAGAGAAAATAAGAGATATTAAGAATTAAGTGTACCGGAAAAAGCTGCGCTTAACATAATGATGTTGTAAGGAGCATATTAATTCGCGAATCGTCGTAGCCGAGACTACTGGTCTTGTTCGTCTCGCGTGAAGAGAAATTGACCGGTTGCAGCGATGCAATAGAAAAAATATCGGGGAACGGAAGCGCAGTTAACGTTTCCTCGGGCGAGATAGGTAACTCCGGGGGAAAGATATGGAAAAACCTCGTTCTTTCCCGGTCATTCTGGTTTTTCGCATACATGACCGCGGGCAGATTGCGCTGGCAATGATGGAAAGGAAAGAACTCGACAGTGGATGACGTACGAGAGAAATAGGCGCATAAACACTCTCGAAGATGATGGAAGATTCATCTGACGGTCGTATAATTTGCACTTCATAATTGTAGCATCCTAGGAAGGAGAGTGCCACACTCTACGTGATGTGATCGTAATAAACGCAATTTAGTAATCCTCGTATCCTGTCACTTTAGATAGTAACGCGAGAGTTCCGTGTATCTTTTTTTTTATTCCGATAAATAATTCAGTGAAAGGGATTTCACACATCTCATTGGAAGAATAAAAAAAGTCATTCGTCTTCTCTAGAGAACTTTCCACAGAATTTCCAAGGAACTTTCGTAAAATTCGTCAGCTACATGCGGGCGTTTCTTTTTAAAGCTGCGTCTCGCGCAAGTGTAATTAGGTGGGAAGAAATGAAAGGCCGAACGACGAGATGTAAGGAGGCTGATATATCCGCGGTGCAAATGGATCGGCGAACCAGTAAGGACCAGTACGGCAATTTGTATGTGGGCCACGAGAAAGTCACAGCACGTGCACTTTTTTCCACCTTCGGGATATATTCATCTTTTTTACACTTTCGCAAGCGAACGATGGCTGCCTTTTTTCTGAGATTTATTCTATTATGATAATCTCCCGACAAGAGAAATTCGCTTTTAAGTCGAGGAGAATAATAAAAACAAGAGTCTCAGGAATTTTCATAGTAAAATTCTTGAAATGCACCTTGACAAAATATGTGATGCACCCTGTAAAATATTCACTGGTTGTTGTCACGAAAGAGACCACGTAGATCGCTCGTTCATCGCACATCGTAAATCAAACAGTTACGACATTTCGCCCTGCGCCGATGCGCGACTTGGCATGACGTCGATAGTTCGCAGCTGTTTCGATTAAGCTTCTGCAGAATCAGGAAGCATCGGTGAACGCCGCCGTACACATCTATACGAAACGATGCGATGACTTTCCACTCGTATTACAAAATGTAAGATGTGCCAGAGAAATACAGCGGTCTTACTACGAATGACGAAGATGGCTTCAACCTGTATCGCCAACATTTAATTTGTATTTCCTCTACCAACGTAATCATGCAAGTTTACTTCATGAAGTTTACTTCAGAAATATTTATATCTCAAATTGACTCATTTATGTTCGATAATGTCTTAGCCTCGAGATACATCGTTCTCTTCTCAGTTTTGTTTGCAATAAACAAGTTTGAAGGAAGTGATCTTTAAAACACTCTGTACATGCTGCTATCTTATTTAAATTTCAAGATACTAAGCTGAAGAACGATTTCACCAAGGTGTCTGTTAATTTCGATTTCTTTTGATTAGCAATTTAATAAGCCGTTTAGAATTTGTTGAAAGCATTTACATATATATCCACAGATTATATCATCGCATTATCAAATACGAGGAATTCAAAGCTATTTATATTATTACAACAAATGTAAAAAATTGGAGATTCTAGATTTGAAAAATCATGGAGTTTTATTTTCTTTCTTATATAATTCTCTATAAATAAACACTTTCCAATAATAATTATATAGCTTTCCCCAATGATTTATTTAATATTATTAAGCTCTAACACGTTTCTTCATTTATCAAGCGCAGCAAGACTTTCAACAGACGCCGGGAAACAGGTGATGTCGGTCGAAAGCACTTTACATTCCCCGCTTCTTTAGGACGAACGGGGCGGATTTCGTGCGATGGTGGCGGAGGTGAAACGAGGCAACAGGCAAGGCCAAGGTAAAGGTAAAAGGTAATATGGGGGGCACGGGGAATGCGAGACTGGGAGAGAAACCATGCGTGGCGAGCCGTGCAAAAGTCAACGAACCGAAATCGGCGTGTACGCGATAACGCGCGATAATCCACGGACGATTTCCTCGGTAAATTTCAATAACCATGGTCCATTCGCTACATTCCCTTAATCGCGAGGATATATACTTTAGAGCGAGGTGTTGGGTACTTTTTCTCAAGGCGGCGAATCCGCTTCAGTGACTATGAATTTGCGCTCTGATGAGCGCAAATATATGTGTATATGTATTATATAATATTATACATACATACTTTTTTTATAAATAAAAGTGTGATAAATAATCGAGGACTCTCCTTATGCAAATGTATAGAAATTAATATTTAAAAAAATTTTTTTTCATAGTTTTATCAGACCTCTAATTTGAATTTTGTTGAAACGAGAATTTGATTTATATTTCGATATCGTTAAAAATCTAGAGAATAATTGTATTTGTGCATAGATATATGCCATATTTATATCGCGTATGGTTTATCATAAGCAGAGGCAAACGGCCGCCGCATAACTTACAACACGCTCCGAGTCCTTCGTCGTCCGCGAATAAACCGAGTTAACGGTTGATTGCCTCGTACAAGATGCGCACAGCATCAGTTTTAAATCTCGAGCTTTGCGCCTGCTTCGCGTCACGCCATGCATTTCACCTGTTTAAAATAATATTGCAAATCATTGTTGTGACATGCTTCCATATCGAATAGTCATTCGCACTCTATAATGGTGCTGTAATATAAAATATGCAAGCCGTATCACGTGAAAAATTACAACATTGCTACGCGGGAATGATGACTCGTTAAATTCTCTCCCAGAAACCGATTCTAAATTCGTCCGAGAGGTGTTTTGCTTAGTAAAGCACGTTTCTCCCGGGAAGAAACGCTACTTCCATGACGATAGCTTTTTCTCCATCCAGTGTGTTTCATGAATAACGCATCAGCAGGTCCAAGAGTGGGACAATGCGGGTCCCGCAGAATCAGAAAGTTGCGTCGAAACAACGAATTTGGGTGAAATGCCGTCACGAACGGAAAAAGGAAATCTCGATTTTGTTCTCGCAAATGGGAAGTGATGCACTATTCGAACCATCGATGTGTGCCACTGAATTTATCGTATATCTCTCAATCCTATCGGTAGCATTTGCCAAAGATACACTTCCTGCTGCGCTGCAAGCTATACGCGTTGCAAGGTGAAACCGGCGAAGCGGGTTTTGCGTATCAAGTACAGTTGGTGAAATGCACGAACGCATGGATCGCGCGTATCGTTCGTGCGTGGCCCTTCACCGTAAAAATATACGAACATAACAGGTGCGGTAAGAGGCTGTCATTTATTGACAAGTTGCCGACCAACACCTACTCCCATAAGCTTTCACGCAGGAAGGAAGAGAAATTAAAGGAAGAAGATAGCTTTTTTTTGAAAGTAACTCGACAAGATCTCGAGAATAATTTCAAAAAGTTTAATTCACAGAGCTTTATATAACGCACATGTGATTTTTTTTTTAAATATTAACATAAAAATATTAACGTAAAAATGTCAAAAAGGAAGGAGGGGGAGAACTACTTTTGATTTTGTCCTCGATACATATTCATGATTGAGATACGGAGAAATCGTATAGTTGCGGGGGAAATGTGCACATATATGTGTGCTTGCTGAGTTAGTATTCCGAACTGCGGCATCTGTACACGGGAGAATACGATCTGACGTGCGTTATCGATCTTTGGAAAGCGTCTCAGCATATTTCCACTGGCGAAACTACCGAAAGACTAATACGCATGCGACCTCGTTGACCCTCATCTATCGAACTCGCTTCCTTTCTTTCTGATTTCTATTTAATATAAATCCTTTTTCAAAATCAAGTCGAGAATCTAATGCACAATATTTTTATATATCTTATTATCAATCCATTAAATCTCTCAATTCTTCTCAAATTGCTTTGATTATAATAAAAGAATTAAAATAAAATTAGTAACAAAAAGGAAACCATTAGAAATAAAATTTCGCGACTTATGACGTTATATTGTAATTATTTAAAGCCAGTTTTTAGATTAAATAAAATATGATATATATTTTTATAACGATCTAAGTATTTGTTTAGCCACGCTCTAACGATGTCGTTCCTGTTCAAGCGGCGACACTCGATCATTTTCGTGGAGAGAAACAATTATCGACTCGCGGAAGTGTTCGACGCGATGATTTGCACAACGCTCGTTGAAGTACGGCTGTCATTTTCCCTTCTGAATTCCTTCGACGACTTCTTGGTTGGCAAGCGAAAGTGCATTGACACGTTTCAGCCTGTGCTTTTCTGCGAGCGTCGTGTCATAAAGCGTCGTTGCGAGGAAAAAAATGTACGGTTGAACGGTTATTTGCACATGTCATAAAGATTTATAAGCTCTCGAGTAGTAAAATTCTATTAGAAAGCGAATATTATGCTTTCGTGGTCGGGAAAGAAATCGCGCGTACGGAATATCACGATTTTGTGAATAATAAAATGATAAGATTATGAGACAACTGATATATCACCGCTTTCTAACACAACCTTCGAGTATTACATGTGCATATCTCTTAATATGTTACTTCTCGTTACAGTCTTCTGATATAAATTATTTATATGTATAAACTTATCTAGTTAAAATTGCATTTAATCGCAAATTTTTTTCACATTAACTAATTTCATAATCACATATTCTGTCAGACTCATACGGTTTCTCTCTAACATTTCATGCAAAGCGGTACCTCATTGATGAATATTTCAATGTCACAAACAATGTAACAAACTTTCTCGTAATAAATATTATTTGTTCCGGCCTTTATGACTGATGACATTTTACGAATGGTGACATTTTCTCTATTTCTAATAGTTTGTCCACTTTCTAAGTTGCATCGTAAGTTCAAGAAAATTATACACACTTTCGAGAAAATATTGACTCATATTGACTCACCTGGCTTTGACCAACTCGATAGGAAGCGGGGTCGACGTCGACGGTGAGCAGCATGTCTTCGACGGCGCGACGTTCATCGGTAACGGGACTTCCGGGTCGAGCGTTCACGTCACTGGACAATAGTCCGAATCGACGTCTGAACTCACCTAGAGCCATATGCTTCGGGAATCCAACTTTGTGTAAACGAATGGCGTCTATTATTTGGCTACCGCGAATCTGTTTAACAAACATACAAAAATGTACCGTTAATATATACTGATTAAATGTTTGACGGAAAGAAAATTAAATCTTTGTAAAAAATTAATGAGAGTTTATAAAAAATTATATTTCTGCTGTTTTTATGAGAGATCTTTCTATAATAATGTGAAATTGAAATCTCGCATTAATTCTAATTTCATTTTCTCAAAATCTAATATTTTTTAAAAATCTAATAAAATGTTTTTACCTGCGATCGCAGAAGAGGCACATTAATAACGCTATCCTCGCTCTGATTTGATTTCACGGAGAGAAGGCTTTTGTTGTCGGTACAACCGGCATTGTGCTGAGGCAGAAGACAGTGCACAAATTTCACGCGTGTTCTCCGTAATGTTTCCACGAGACCGTCCTGAAAACAATTCATAATTGTGCTTTACTCCGCTTTATAATGTTGGAGGCAAACGCCAACGAGATAAACAAAGAACCGCATTGTCCTTACTAGATAACGAGCGCAAAAGAGAAAACACGAAAATAAAACAAGGTAATAACAAATGATCTCAATACATATTTCTCCGAACATTCCTAATATGTCGCATCTTGCAGAGCGAAGAGAAATGATTAACGTGCGTGAAAATGTCCACTAGCTATAATATTTATGCGACCAATGTATTGAGAGGTTTTACGATAATGGAATTTGATAACAGTCTGATCTTTGACACCGAGAGACGATTAATGACCTATACTCATAAAAATAAATTTACATAGATGCCGCGATATTCAAAGACGCGAAGAAATCCGAAAATATTTATTAATAAAGAAGCAAAAATTCATCAATTATTATTAACATTATATCACATCAATTATTTCAATTATTTTCTCAGGAGAAAGGAAAATGCGGAAAGTGCGAATTAAATACTCACTACAGTGAATTTCACTTGCAGGCAAATGTTCTTCCTTTTCACGGCTGTGAACGTTCTTCGTATGCTTGAGGCTCGCCTCAAAGATTGCGAGCCTTCGAGTCCTGGCATGGAACTGCATAAAGCGCCGGAAACACCGGCGCCTCGGGCACTTACAAACAGTTTGCTCACGTGTTCTCTACAAATTTTTATAAAATATAATAACAAACTTTATGTATATATATTTGCTAATGAAAATCTTTGCATGAAATAGATATTTGATTTGTATTACCGTGTACTTTCTTGAAGTATCGTGATGGCACTCTTGGAAACGGGATTTTCGCGCGTGGCTTTAAGCCAACCGGTGGCAGTATAAAGGACGGGATTAGTTCCCAATAAGTGTTGCAAAACGAATTGATTGTTGCCCGGCGCCTTTCGTAGAAACATTTGGTGATCTGTAAAAATTATTTTCATATATAAAAAATTCGTAGTTAACGCGAGGTGATGTCGATGTCGGAAAATTAATTTTACCTCGATCTCCGTAATGAGAAAATAAACGATCCAGGAAGGTTTCGTCGCTCCCTCCAGGACATACGGTCTCCTCATCCAGCAGCCAGAGTAATCCTTTCCGTTCCATCTGTCTGCTGCCGCTAAGGTCGCTTTGACTAGTTCGCAACATCGTCGCGCTTTGCGAGCTTCCGCGATCCAGAAGGGAAACTAAACCTTGAGGCGATCCGATACCGTCCTCGTCGTAATCATCCTCGTAATCTACATCAATGCCCTCCTGGACGTATCTGATAAATTTTTACGAGTTACTTCTCATACAATGCTATTTGTGATTAATGACATAATTAGTGACTATCGAATTAATTTTAATAATACGCTATAAAAATAAAATATTTTTACTATTACAATATTTGTTTAGAATAGAAATTTGAAAGTTTATATTTTTAGCATTTTACATTTACCTATCCTTCGGAGCTATTAACGTAGTATGATGAAACAGTAACTGCAGACGCTCCTGCAGATAATTGTGGCAAAGATCCTCAAAAGTTGCACCGGTTTGTCGGCCGCATGAAGCAGGATTTTGGAAACCTGGCGAATCACACAGCAGCACAGATGAAACTGTATGTACAGCGGATGATATGGATCTAAAAAATAACAAATATATGGTATATATAAATACTGACGAAACATTTAATAGCTTTATGAAGCTGATCATTATCGCGTTAATCTTAAGAATATATTTTCTTCCATTAATCCTCTTCTTAAGAATATATCTCAATAATTATCGAATGATTTTTTTATTATTTTTTTTTAATTCTTTAAGATAAGAATTGACAAGAATTGATCTTTCAATCGACGAAAGATAAAATGAAACTTATAAAAGTATATTTTACGATCTTTGTGAAAAATCAACGAGCATAATCAGACCGCCAATTTATTTACTTGTTAATGAGAGCCGCGACGCAGTGGAAAATCTCGGAATAGAGTCCGACCAAAAGTCCCTCCAGCGCATCGAGCCCCGTGACATCTTTGCCCTGCTCCGTCGGGCTAGGTGTTCTCAGAGCCGGTCTCGGAGTGCTTGGTGTTCCGGCACCACCACCGTTGGCCGAGAAGACGACTCGGCTTAATTCTTCTACAGTGGTGCCCAGCAAATTGGCTGCCTTCTCCGCGCATTCAACTCTGGCGAATTGCCATCTGCTCTGCGAACTGGTACCGGCCTTCACGGCACCGGCACAGCTTAAGTGATAAATACCGGCCAGCACCAGCCAGATGACCTTCTCGTCGGCCTCGGAGATGCCGAGTATCCTGAGCGCGGCGACGATGCGGTTAAACTCGACCATAGCTCGCTGCTTGTCCTCGTGCTTCTGCAGCGGCGTAACGAAGGGATTATTCTCGGCGACTAGATTCGTAAGATGTAATTCTTTTCTCAGTGCACCTTCCGCGCCTGCCAGCAGACGGTAAACGGCATGAAAGGTCGGATCCCCGTTAACTCGCCGGCCTATCCTCGATTTTTCCAGCAGCAGCACCTTGCGAAGAAAGAGAAAAATTCATCGCACGAAGCACGCGAGGCAGATGGCAAAAAGAGAAAAAAAGAAATGTTTTCCTCACTTGCAGAGAGGCCGAGGCGATTTGACCTGACTGGTCAAAGTCGAGGCTGAAGAGCTGCGTGAAACGCGTCGCGTTCGAATTCATATGCGTTCTACTATTTCCAAAGGCCTCGAGGACCGTGAAGAGCGCGTTCAGCTTCTCGATCGTCAAGATCTGTAAAAAGGAAACGATGCTAGCTCAGAGATGTTCCATATGGAAAGCGTACCTTGCGTTCTCGACATCGCACCTTGTTAACCGTGCCAGCAGCCAGTACGAGATAATGAAGAGCGTGTTTGAAGTTTGTGGTTTTCCCCGCTCCGCTACGTCCAAGAAAAACCAGAGAATGATCCCTGCGCGTCGCCAACATTCCTCGGTAAGCCGACTGCGCTATAGCATAGATGTGCGGAGGCATATCTTCGCTTTTGCAACCTCGGAACATGTGCGCGACCTGAAAAGAAGGATAGAGCTTTTATTTCAGGCATAAGAATTCAATATTAATCGTGACATTCGTCGAAAAATGAGTACATTCGAAATTTGACAAGCTTGAGCTTCTTAGTAAAAACTTACATGCATAACTCATACAATTTTATAATTTAATTTATTGTAAACTAAATTGGCACACTGAAAAATGTAAAATTTCTCATAAGAGCAGTCTTGCCTTTTCAGAATAAATTGCCAACGGTGCAACCGGATTAATAACGATCATACTGTCTCCCGCATAAGTGTGTATCAAATTACTGGCGTAACGTTGCCTCAACGTATGGAGAACGGACGATTCATTCAAGAATCGTAACTGAGAAAGCTCCTCGGCTTTATCAAACTGGGGTGGATTAGCCTAAAAAAAATTATGCAACGATATTGAATGAGATACAAGCAATTGAATTACTCGATTTGATTGAGTAATAGGTATATTTAATAAGATATAGATGAGAATTGATTAGAAGTAATCGATCTCATTACCTTCTCCACATCTTCCTCGTCCACGAGCAACTCCTCTCCGGAAGTGGTCAATCGGATCCTCAGCTTTCCTGTGTCGGGATCGGCGGTACCGCATCTTGTGGCGGGAGTGAAACCTCCGCGATGCAATAACCAGATCTTTTCAGAAGATAGCCATGCTTGTTCTTGCGCCAAATGCTCCTCCGATCGTGCCTATAAAATATATGAAAAAATGAATAATTAACACATGTAAATTATTTAAAGTCATAAAGTATTTTTTAAAAAGCGTGAAGAAAAGAATGGAAGAATATTTTACATTTTTAATTGAAATTTAGGAAATTTGCATTAAGAAAAACAAGAAGAAATTTCACAAAATTCTCTTAAATCCACTTTTTTGAAAAATATATATTTAAGAAATCATTGAAAAATGTCAACTGGAATATGTTTTAGTGTAGCTTATTTCCAGAAAAGAAGATTCAACGATCGAGAATTTAATTGAATCGTTTGTGCAGCGATCTTCCAGAATCTTTGTTTTTGCAGTCACGCGAGCTCCTCGCTCTTTTTTTCTGTTATCCATCATATAATCTTGAGTTTCATCGACGATTCAAGTTTGCCACCGGCAACTTGTTAAGTGCGACCTAGCGAGGATAGCGGACGCCTACGCTTACACGATAAGTTGAATCGAGTACGTCCTCGAGTGTCCCGCTACCGGCGACGATTAGCCACGATGGATCATTATGAAATATTTTATTGCGTGGCTACGCAGCGCATTACGACAAACGGACCTGCGTACATTAAGCGGCTCATTAACATCGAAATGGCATTCGTTTGATCCTTTCTATTTCTATCTTTCTCCGCTCGTATCTTTTTATTCCTCTTCAGGAATGATTATCATCCCGAAGGCAAAAAAGCTTGATCAATTTACCTGCATTGAAGCCTATTATTTTTAGAATGTTATATATAATTTGCCATATTTTTTACCAATAATATACAATTATAAGATATCGCTTAAAGTTATATAACTGTCTTATACAATTTATTAGGGTACTATTAAATCGGTATCTTCTAATACGCACACCAAAAGCCAATTCCGCGATTCTATTCTCTTGAAACAACGCGTGAATCACATCGTAAGTCCGGTGCAGCTGCGAATTCTCGCGTATCGATTTTCGCATCGAGCAACCGCGGTGACTCGTACGGTTCCACCGAGTAAGGACGATAGACACATGCGGAGAGTTTCCTGGTACATAAATTATCATGCATCATGGTCTCAGCGTTCATTGGTAGCGCACAACGCGCCATTGTTTCACGGTAAACGCCGTTCCTTCAAAAGGCCTAAATGAGGGGATTGTTCGAATATTACGAGTTTGCCCTTTAAACTTGCACACGCTCTCACGCGATGACAATTTGTCAGAAATTTCCTGGATACGCTGAAGGTGCACATTATGCCCAAGAGACGAAGACGGGGAAATTATACATGACATCTCTATCTATTTTATTATGAGATTGATGAGATGGTAAAAGGAAAACGATTCTTGCATTCTATGTTAATATTGTCCTTTGAAACTAGATATGTGTATATTTTTCAATATTATCGGAATTTTTTCAATAATTTTTTCTATTTCTTCGAGAAAATATTTTTCATTTTTTTGCAGACCGAGCAAATTTTAGCAGTCTAAACCTTTTTTGCAAATTTTTCGCGAAACGTACCTCGTTGATTTGCGGCTTTACTCTATTTTCCAGGAGGACCTCCAGGCGCTTCATGCACTCTCCTTCATTCTTTACGCGATTACTTTCCATGCCATCTTTTATATTCTGGATTATGTTCAAATCTACTGTTCCTTTTCCCCGTATTTTTCGCTTTATCTTTCTAGCCAAGGCGATTTCAAATAGCTCTTCCCATTCGATAATATCCTGAATCGGTTTCGCGCATCTTTGATAAACCGGTCGGCTTCGTTTTGATATCTTTTTCGAATTGTTGGTCCGGTTATTCTTGAAACCGAACATTCGAAGTCCATTGTCCGCGTTCGGTATCCTCTGCTCTATTTCCGCCGTGATCCTGTGCCACTTGCGTTCCCTTGGTATCCTGATGACGTTACTGTCATTCCAGCCCTTCTCCATTCTCTTGATTCTGTCGTCTATGCATCCCATGCGAAGCGTATCCACCCAGTTCTCCTTCTTGATATTTTTGACAGCTCGCGGTAATGGTGAACACCGATTGCTCCCACACGATCCTTTAATCCTCTCTTTGACATCGGATTTGACGCTCGATGATTGATCGAGATCGCGATTTGTATTGATCGACCGATTTTCCATGCAACCATTTTGTCCGATTTCAGACGAATGTATGCTATCGCTGTCACTGTATTCCCACGAGCTCGTGCTATTTCTGCTGTGCTTCCTGCCAGATGCGAGGCCATTGTTCGAAACGCAGGACTCGCGTTGCTTCGCAAGATCATCCCGCACCGATGATTTTGAAGACTTTTGCGAGGTTACGCTTTGATGGATATTCTGTTTGACTATCCCGCTGGCGTGGGCCTTGCCTCTGCAAGATCTGTGAAGGAGACGATGCGCACCGATCGACATATTGTCGACCTCATCCCTGTTACGCGGCATCTTCAACATCAGAAAAGTCGCTCTTCGAAGAAACAGATCTCACGCGCGCTGTCACTTTCCCAACGCAATTATCACTAATCTCGGTGATTTCTCTCTCTCCCCCCCCCCCTCTCTCTCTCTCTCTCTCTGTGCCTACCTCCTAAGTTTGCTTGAGAATTCGCATGTAAGAAATTCTTCGTCGTTTGAGAATCTCTTCATTAGCGTTTCCCAATGCAAAGATTTCTTTGATCGGTTACGTGGTAACTATGCCACTCCTTTTGTCAAACATATTGCTTAAATTATGATAAGTTTCATGATGAAAAATATATAATATATATTTTATTTTTTAATCGATATTAATTTGTCATTTATAAATATTCTGATCTTGATTTACACTCGCAATTTTTTCATCACACGACACTTTATCGAAAGCAATCATTAGCAATACCGCCAGTCGTCGTCCTCAAATTCGAAGTGTGTTGACTCATAAGAACGCAAATGTCATTTCGCGTTCTGCGAATTCTCTGACATGTTCCATTCGATTTCTGCTTAGGAACGTTTCGCGAAGAACCGAGACGCGACTTCCGCCGCGAGTTCCTCTCATGGCTCGGGACGACGGCGACGACGGTCACGAGGGACAGAACGCGATCACGAGGAGCATCGCGGGTCTCTCTAGTGTCGACTGAGGCAACGCCGGTGCCTCGAGACAGAGACAGGTCCTCTCTCTCTCTTCCGAGGAGAACGAGAGAGGCGTGTGCCCACGAGAGCCGCCCGGGAGTTCTTTCTCTCCATCACGAAACGTAATTCTCCCGCTCGCTCACCACGTTCCTTCGTCCTCGTCTCTCGCCTCCATCGGCACAGGAGTCCCTTCTCCGTCCCTCCATCGGCCGGTCGACCATACGCTCGTTTGGTTACTTCAGACACGTCCTTCCTCCGCAATTTACACAGACGGCAAACAGTCGGCCAGTAGGCCGATTTGTTTCCGTGGACGATCGCCGATCGAGGTGCGGTTAGCGAAACTTTGAATGATGACGTCTGATGACTTGACGTACAGATATTTGTCGTGACGTAACACTTGTTAATGCTATTTGAGGAGTTTCGATAAAAAAAAGATTAAACTCATAAGAGTCGTATGTGATCTGTTCTAAAGTTTCACAACCCTACTAATTTATTATTCAAAATTTATTAGAATATTATTTTCAACATACTTACATTTAAATTTAACCAATAAATTAAAGCTAATGATATAAATTTATTATTTAAATGGTCCGCAGGGCTTTACTTGGAGATTCGATTTATGAAAATGTGATACGAGTGAAAACAAGAGCCATTTCTGAAAAATATTTGACTCGATCATTCGCCTCAAATATATGTAGCTACCGTTTGTCGTGCAAAGCTCCCGTAAGCGCTTTCGTAAGCTTTGAACGAGAAGCAAAGGAAATGGAGCAATACAGAAATGCTTATATATAGATTTTCTCAGAAAGAAGTTCCGTAGAGACTTGAAGAATCTATTATTTAAATAAGTCTATTAAATAAGATTGTAAAAATTAGTAGCACGCTTTATACATCAAGCTTTCATATTATTCAATTTTCTAAAGATTTTCCCCTTTGAATATTTCCTTTTTAATTCAAGTTTTACCTTTTACTTTTGAATTCCAGATCTACCGGAATAAAATTACCATTACCATTTTTATTTTATACATAATTGTAGCATTGTGATAAGAAAATCAATCTCGAAGAAAAACAGTCACGGACTGGGCACGTGCGACGCATTGAAACGGCTTAGTGCATCGCACGTGCTGAGAGAAACGCATTCGTGAAGATTCGAGGGAGCAACGAGCTGCTATTTTAAGAAACTCGTAACACGCGAGATTGCGTCCAACCAAAGCAAGTTCCCCGACATCGCCACGCCAAACACGCTGTACAGAAAGACGTAATGTAACGGCGAAGTCGGTGTTTAGCGCTTTGGGGTCCGAATATCGTCGCCGCAGCCATATCGGCCGCAAGAATGTGGGCAGAAAGTTCTCGATGCATGATAATTCGCCTTTTGCGTACGCCACAGTATCTAAATATAAATAAATGGAGTACGATACGGTACATTGACTGTAATAAGGCAATTAATAAGCTCTCTCGCTCTCTCTGCTTTTATAGCATTTTTCTTTGTAACAGAAGAGATAAAACTTGCAAACCTACTCGGAAGCAGAAATAATACCATGCAAGGACGTGTGGCATTCAATCGACTGTAAAGAATCGAGCCAATTAGTTTTCAAAAGACGTTATATTCTAGCTTGTAAATTATGCTAGACCGATGACGCATGGTTGTCATTGTTCGACAATGGATGCTTATTCAATACAGAAACGAGAAACATGAATCGATCGCAATGTGGGTGGATTGCTACACGACAATTTCTTCGTAATGTTTTGTCCGATGTGTAGGATGTCAGATCAACGAATTAGAAGCAGGTAAAAAAAATTTACATATAGTGCAGCCTAAGGCCAGATCTCAAAAGGAAGAGCGATTTAAAAATTCAAATCAGTTTTTTCTCTATTTTTCTTTCTCTTTCTATCGAAATCGACATATAATATTTTAGTATGGTTTAACTAAACGATAAATAAAA